GCTGACTCTAGTTGGAGGCCTGTAACTAGTGGAGTGCCTCAAGGGTCAGTACTGGGACCGGTATTATTTAATATATTCATCAACGATTTAGATGAGGGAATTGAGTGTACTATCAGCAAGCTTGCTGATGACACTAAGCTGGGAGGAGTGGCTGACACGCCAGAAGGCTGTGCTGCCATCCAGCGAGACCTGGACAGGCTGGAGAGTTGGGCAGGGAATAACTTGATGAAATATAACAAGGGAAAGTGTAGAGTCCTGCATCTGGGCAGGAACAACCCCAGGTTCCAGTATAGGTTGGGAAACGACCTGTTAGAGAGCAGTGTAGGGGAGAGGGACCTGGGGGTCCTAGTGGACGACAGGATGACCATAAGCCAACACTGTGCCCTTGTGGCTAAGAAGGCCAATGGCATCCTGGGGTGTATTAGAAGGGGGGTGGTTAGTAGGTCGAGAGAGGTTCTCCTTCCCCTCTACTCTGCCCTGGTGAGACCACATCTGGAATATTGTGTCCAGTTCCGGGCCCCTCAGTTCAAGAAGGACAGGGAGCTGCTGGAGAGAGTCCAGCGCAGGGCAACGAAGATGATTAAGGGAGTTGAACATCTCCCTTATGAGGAAAGACTGAGGGAGCTGGGTCTCTATAGTTTGGAGAAGAGGAGACTGAGGGGTGACCTTATCAGTGTCTATAAATATATAAAGGGGGAGTGTCACGAGGATGGAGCCAGGCTCTACTCAGTGGCAAACAATGATAGGACAAGGGGTAATGGGTACAAACTGGAACACAAGAGGTTCCACTTAAACTTGAGAAGAAACTTCTTCTCGGTGAGGGTGACGGAACACTGGAACAGGCTGCCCAGGGAGGTTGTGGAGTCTCCTTCCCTGGAGACAGTCAAAACCCGCCTGGACACATTCCTGTGTAACACTATCTAGGTGTTCCTGCTCCGGCAGGGGGATTGGACTAGATGATCTTTTGAGGTCCCTTCCAATCTCTACCATACTCTGATACTGTGCTACTGTGATGTGGGATAGTGTCAAATGCTTTGCACAAGTCCAGGTAGATGGTATCAACTGCTCTACCCCTGTCCATCAGTTCTGTAGCCCCATCGTAGAAGGCCACCAAATTGGTCAGGCAGGATTTCCCCTTAGTGAAGCCATGCTGGCTGTCACCAAGCACCTTGTTGTTTTTCATGTGCCTTAGCATGCCTTCCAGGAGAATGTGCTCCAAGATTTTGCCAGGCACAGAGGTTAGGCTGACTGGTCAGTAGCATATCCCTGGGTCTTCCATATTACTCTTCTTGAAAATGTGGGTTATATTTCCCTCTTTCCAGCCATTGGGACCTTCACCTGACTGCCATGATTTTTCAAATACAATGGCCAGTGGCTTAGCAACTTCATTTGTCAGCTCCTTCAGGACCCGCAGATGGATTTCATTAGGTCCCATGGACTTGTGTACATTCAGGTTCTTAAGATGATCTCAAACTTGATTCTCTCCTCCAGTGGGCCTAAGGTCTTCATTCTCACAGTCTGCCTTCCAAGACTTGGGGGGTGTGGTCAAAGCACCTGCTGGTGAAGACTGAGGCAAAGAAGTCATTGAGAACTTCAGCCTTCTCCAAATCCAGGGTAGCCAGTTCTCCGGATAACTTCCATTTCTCTGGTAACCTGATGAATCTATGCATAGAAATACACTGTGTGTTTGGGGGGAAGGGTGTGTGTTGGAGTGGTCAGATCAGTTCATACATATGAAGTATTTAAGATTCTTTGGTACTGGGTCTGTCAAATATCAGGAGAGAAACAAGCAGCTAACCCTGTGGAACTGCACACAAATTAAGACCTATTCTAGCAGATGATTTTCTACAACTGCTCTTGCAGAAACTGTCAAGCTACAGAGCACAGATTGCTAACTTTGGTCATGAGCGTTGTTCCATGGATTTCCATGGGACTGCTGTTAATAGGTACTACCTCTATTAGTAAGAGGTACAAACTCAATGCAAAGCTTACGTATTGAAAATATTTTGCAAAAGGGAGAATTGCTATGTACATCAGCTGGAGTCAGTTCACCCACTGTAATATCATCTTAATGTATCATTTTCTCCACTAGTCTAGAAAAAAACAAAACAAGCTTTTGTTTTCATATAAAAAAGCAGGCCTTGTTAAATACAGATTACATACTTTAAATCCTGCACTGTTGCTGCAGGAGTATAACTAGCACAGTTTTCAAAGATTTATTATTTTCTCAACATTTTGTGACAATTCTTTTCTGAAAAATTGGATAATTTAATTTCAGAGTCAGAGCTGTACATAATGCCCAGATCCACTGAGACCGAGGGTCACACGGATAATGAGTTTCCTGCAAGTGTAATAAAAGTAGTCAAGCAGATGAGATTGATTTTTTATGTGGCACTTGGAAGTGCCACAGCCAAAGGAGAAACTGCAATATGAGCTCACATATTCATATACAGTTCAAACACAAGAGAAACCGTATGGGAGAGACACTCATAAATGCTGTAGCCAAGACAGAAGCTGCAACCAAAGCGCAAAGCCTGCATCCTGGAAAAACAAACTGCATCAATTCCAGTATTTCTTAGAAAAGGGCCCCTCCTACTTACAGTGAAACTATTATCAATGTTTTTAACTGAAGCTGGACCAAGTCCCTAATTTGTAAATTCTAACATAAGCATTATTTCACATAGCAGTAACAGACCTAACATCATAGAGAAATCTAGTTTACAGTTATTAAAACAAATTAAAGCTCATTCTCCTTATATGATTACATGAAAAATAGCAATCATAATAAAAAATAAAATGTTCAAGAGTGAATCTGTATTATGTGGATCATTCAACTAAACCTAAACCCTCATCTTGGGAGGGAATCATTATGACAATTGCTTTTTTGTTCTTGATGCTTCTTTAATAACTCTAGTTACTTCCAAACCTTTTTCCCTCTTAACCCCACTTTTTTTTCCTCAGATCATCCTGCTTAGTACCACTTTGCAACCGCAAGCATAAACACCTCTACCCTACATAGGCAAAGAAAGTTCACTGTATGTAAGATTCCTGCTGGCCCACACACCTAGGGGAGACACATGAAGTCTGAATGTATGTTAAGTACCAGGCTCAAGCTTTGCCTGAAGCATTTTGTCAGATTCATCATATTCATCTGTTTTTTCCCTTCCCATGCTGATCAGCAGAATCCTTCCCCTTCCAGGCTGGGGAGGAGAAGGAAAGATTAGATCTGGGAAAATGAAATATTGCTGTGACTGTGATGCCAAGAAGTGTTTACTAAGCAATGAAAGAAGCCTTAACTGGCCAGGCTGAGCATGCTTTTAACTGGTCCCTTCAAAGGGTAAAACCAACCAACTTGTCCTGACAGCAACAAATTTTCAGACAATTAAAAAATGGCCATAATGAGTCACTTTCAGGTTAATATCTTGTATATATTCAAATATTTTGAAGATAAATTAAACTCTTGCCAGTCCTGACAGTTTCTAAACTAATGCATATACATACCCCTAGAAGAAACCTCAGAAAGAACAATCTGTGCTCTTACATACACAAAAAAGTGCAACATACACATGTGACAGCAGTTACCACCTTGCTGTAGAAACCTCAGCAGAATATTCTTTAACCTTGTGATTAAACTAAGAATTGTGATGTTACAATAAAATATTAATCACAGATGAGCAGAGCTAAAATGAATACAGACAATACCAAACACTGTAGGACTTGCTTTTCCTTAGCCCTGGAGTTCTTCTGTTCCTATAAACAAAAGCTTAAATTTGAAGTTGCATTTTGCACCTTTTGAACAGCTTGGAGGCTGTTAAAGGAAGGCCACCATTTACTGGAGATACATGGGATCCAGCAGAAGAGCAGAAAGCACACTCACTCTTTCTCTTAGACTCTACAAGGTTATGGGAATACTGATGTGCTCACACAGAAACCAGATTAACACTTCTCAGCCAAAGAAATAAGACACAAAAAAAAAACCCAAAACCAACAAAAGGATCCTATAGAGAGGTGAATTTACAGACTCACACTACAAACAAATTGCCAAATAAAGGTTGCGCACTCTATCAGACAGGGTGGGACTTTGCAAATATGAAAAACAGATTAAAAAAAGTGGTAAAGTATAAAATAACAACTAACGCAAACTAACAACTGAATAATATGAAACAAGCAAAACTAACTGACAGCCATCCCGGTAGAAAGAGAAAATCGGTCCCTTAGTCACAACCCCTTGGGAATAAGCAGATTACTATTCAGAGCACACGGGGCTGGCTATAAAGCTATAAACTCGAAGACATTTCTCTTTACAGCATTTGTTTCCAGCCTCTTTGTTTCCTGCAGACACGGCTGGTGCTCTCTCTCCATCCCCCTGCCTCCTCAGCCGCCGCGCGCGTCAGTTTTGGCCCCCTTTCCCCGGGGCTACGGGCCCCTGCATCTGACCAAGGCTTTGCCTGCCCGGGCTCCTTCTGCTCTTTTGTGCGGCTGTCGGCGCGGTGGGGGGAGGCAGAGCCAGGGGGAGGATCAAGGGCAGAGAAAAAGGCAGCTGGTAGGGGAGCCCCAAGTGCGCGAGAGAAGCGGGTTGGGGGAGGAGCCTGGGCAGCGAGGAACCCGATGGGCGGCCGGGGAGGACGCAGGGAGCTTTACGGGGGCAGCGGCGCCCGGGACTGGAAGGAAGAGGGAGAGCGCCCGAGGCCGGGCTCGTGGTAGTGCGGACGGCGCGGTCCATTAGAGGTCCCCTCCAAAGCCCTGCTGGGGCTGCCGGAGCTGATGCTGCCCTGAGGAGTTGCGGCTGATAGCCCCAGAAGCCGCTGCTGCTGCTGCTGGGGCTGGGGGTGCTGGGGCTGGGGCTGCTGGGGCTGCGCACCTCCCCGCTCGCCCTGCCCCCGCAGGCAGCTCTGCTGGGGGGGAGGGCCACAGGGGTGTGCGGCGTGGTGATTAGCGGGACGCCGAGGCCCCGCCTTCCCCCCTCGCATCCCGGGTGTGATGAGACGGGGAGATGGACCTGAGCCGGCGGGACTGGCGCTATGATGTTCGTCGGTTTTGTGGTGGCGCTGGTGATAGGGACTGTCCCCGGAGCCCGCGAGCTGGGGCGGGTCTCCGCCAGCCTCCCGGCCATCCGCCACCCGCAGCCACCCGCCTCGGCCCCGCCGCCGCCGCCCCCCACCGGCCGCCCAGCTGTGCCGCCAGCCGGGAGCTTCGCCGCTCCCCGGCGCCCTTGGCCCCCGGCGGCGTCCACTCTCCCGCGGCGGCGGACAGCGGGGAGGGCGCCGCGGGGCCGCCGCTGCTCCTGCTCCCCGTCCGGCGGCAGCGGGCGGCCCGGGTGCGCCCCGGGGGGTGGCCAGGGCCCGGCGGAGCGCGGAAGCGCTGACTGCGAGCAAGGTGAGCGGGGCGGGGGCGCCGGGCAACGGGGAGGGGGCGAGGAAGCGCCGCCATCGGGCGTGTGGTAGTGGCGGAGCGGAGCTGCGGGCGGACGACCGGCTTTGCTGGACGAAGAGCATTAGTAGGACGGCGGCGTTCTCACAATCCCCTGCCCGGTTCCCCGTCGTTGGAGGGAACAGGTAACAGAGAACAGACACCTTTTGCCACAGTGACAGCAAACGCTTTTCTGAGATGAGCGTTTAAACTTTCACATCAGTAGATGCAGCAGAAGGACGAAGGTCCGACCTGGTTTTAGTCCAAAGCTATTTTAATGCTAGGTATATCGCGTTAAGAAGCTGCACTTATTCAGTAGGCTAAGTTAGCAAAGGCTGTCATTCCCCTTTTTGTAATCGGGCGCACTTCTACAGGAAGCACTTGGGTCTCCAGAAGCCCAGTGGCAGAAGGAAAAGCAAAAGGACGCCGCACTCTAAACCCAAATTACTCCCATTGCATCTCTTTCTTTCTCCCCCTATCCCCCTTTCCCCATCTTGGGGTAGTGGGGATTGCAAGTTACAGCTGGTGCCTAAGGACATCTGTGACCCTGTCAAGACCTGCCTCCCCCTGCCCCCAGCTAAACTCCCAGTGACTTTCCCAGTGGAAATTTTCAGTGCATAACGTCTGAACAGCAATTTCAGCATTCAGCCCTTTAGCTACCATCGTTGGCATTAAATATATACTATATTTCTGTACAGTCTGGTTTGGAATGACTTCACATTTGAATCTGGGACCCCACTTAGAGTACGGCATCCAGCTATGGAGTCCTTGGTACAGGGAAGATGGAGAGGGCCACAAAAATGATCAGAAGGATGAAACACCTCTCCTATGAGAAACACCTGAGAACTGGGGTTGTTCAGCCTGAAGAAAAGATTCCAGAGAGACCTTATTGAGGCTTTCAGTTCTTATGGGGAAAGACTTTCTGTCAGGGCCTGTTGCAACAGGACGAGGGGGTGATGGTTTTCAACTAAAAGAGGGGAGATTCAGGCTGGATGTGAGGAAAAAATTCTTTACAACAAGGGTGGTAAAATACTGGCCCAGGTCGCTCAGAGAGATGGCGAATGCACCATCCCTAAAGACACTGAAGGCCAAGCTGGATGTGGTTCTGGGCAACCTGATCTAGTTGAAGATGTCCCTGCTCATTGCAGGGGAGTTAGTCTAGATGACCTCTCAATGTCCCTTCCAATCCAAACTATTCTATGATTCTATCCTGTGATTTTCTCCTGCATCTCTCTGATATTATCTCCTGCCTAAGTAAGAATTATGTCTTATCTCTAGTTTTACTAAAAATAATGAAGCAGAATTTTTGCAACAAAAATAAGAAATTCTCTTTGTTGTCCTTCGTTTTACATACCTTGCAATATCACAAGGTCAGCAAGGAAGTTGAACATTGATATCAATAATTTTGTTCTTGTGGAAGTTTTCTGTTTGTTTTTTTTTTTTAATTAATTTACTTTCAGATCTCTGAAGAGGGTTGTTATCTTTCTCTTCCAACAATAGCCCTAGAAGGAGTGTGAAAAAAAGCTGATAATTTGACCAATGTGATAATAATACATATTGGTATAAAATATCACATGAAGAGCATAGGGAAGCATTAAGGTGCCTCCACATATTGATTATATATGCATTAAAAGAAAAACACAGCTTCCAAGTCAAATGTTGTATTCCTTCAAGAAGATAGAAGGATGTTACACATTACAGATGTTTTCCTGGAAGGAATACCAGGCAGCTGATGCCATGCAGGAGAAAATGGATAACTGGAGACAGACAAAAAATAAATCTAGAAGGCTTCATACCCTTTAACTCATCCCAATTTGGGAAAGGGATCCTACAGTTGCTTCTTTGATTTAGCCCATCATATATATATAGCTTTTGTTTTCAGAATTCTTCAGTCTGGTTCCTAAAAATACTTCGTGAGGACTTGGTCTAACATGTTACAGTGAAGAAGAACATAGCATTGTATTGCTAAGAACCCAGGACTGCACTTACTAAATTCCAGAATCCCCTGTGAGTTCAGCACAAATGTGATTTAAGTAAAAAAATACCAAAAAGTGCTACATGGTTTGGATTTAGCCATGTTTCTTTAGTCTTTTCAGAATGATGCTTTTTTTTCCCCCAGAAAAAGGAAATCCATGTTAGCCTCTGTTAAGAGGTAGGATGTAGCTACTGAACATTAGACGATACTTCCCTTTTGAAAGGTCCTACTGGACTCAGTGGTAAATTCTTAGTGACATCAACAGAGCAAACATCTGTCCTAAAGCCTTCATGGAGGTGATATGAAAGTATTAGTGTGTGAGATGGCTTGAGGTGGAACATGGAAATAAATTAAGCCATCTGCCCAGAAATTATAAACATTATTGTAGTATTCGTCATGAAGTATGTTCCTTTGATACAAGAAGCAAATATATGCAAGTAAGGCAATGCTATGATGCAGTTTATAGCTGGAGAAGGACAGACTATTCAGAGATAAACTCACTGCATCTACTGCTTTAGTACATGTCCTAAGGAACCCATGCTCAGTTATTCAGCACCTGCAATGACTAAATACAATACCATGTTCAAAGCCTTAACTGTAAATCTGCTGGCTTTTCTAGCTTACATATTAAGACTTATCTGCAAAGTTAACTGGCTAAACTTAGTGCATGTGTATTTACTAAACTGCTTTATATTTAAACATTACTGGCAAATAATGATGATGATAATGATAATAATACAAGTGCCTTTATAATTATACTGTGTGATACCAGTCTAGAATCTGTTTTATAGTTTAAATAATTGATTTTGGCATTTCATTTCCTTCCTTCTCAAAAGAGAGACATCTGGGTAATATAATTTATTCATACCTCGAACGCAAGTAAACATACATATAAAAATTATCATTATTAGCCAAGGAAATCATAGAGGAAAATAAATGAGTCTGAGAGTACTCTGTACACAGAGCCAACAGAAGTCCAGCAAAGTTTAGTATTTTAGTTACTGCTAATGACAACTTACCTGTAATGTACTCATACTTCAAAAAAGAGGGCTACCTCAGTACCTAGAAGCAACCACTGCCCATAATGTTTATGTGGCATGTAACTACAGTATTCTGCATGCTATGCTGTTTGTGCTATGTTGTTACATATCCAACTTAAACCTCTTCGAGCCAAGGGGGTTAACTATTTTTTGTATTTTACAAAGGGGAAACAATAGAAGAAAGGGTATGTGTCTCTGCCAGAGGTCACCCTAATAATCAGTGGCAGAACTGGAAATAAAAGCCACATCTCCAGAATGGCCAGATTGTAGTCTTTCCATTTAAATTGCTTTTATCACAGGGTAATTCCACTAATACTAATCAAATGATGCTTTACTAAACTGTGAGTGAAGAATCAAGCCTCAGGCTTACAGTCTAAACCGCTTGATTTTTCTCCGTATTACACTGTAGTCCAGGAAGTTGATGGAAGGTCTTTTTGGGACTTTGTTTTTTTTTAAGAGCATAGGGTTAAAGAAAAAAAAATCATGAAAAAATGAACATGAATGTCTATATTTTCCTTCAAAGAAGCAGTTCTCCTGAAGCCATTCTTACTACAGCTGCACAGCATAAGACCCCTCATTTTCTACAGCTCTGTACCACGTAAGACAATGGCAGATCTTTAGAGCCTGTTACATTCCTAACACTTCCATTTATTTTTTCAGAGACTTAAACCACTGATCATTGCCATGATGAATCTCACTCTGCAGAGGAACCAATTCAGCACATTACACACTCAATATATACAATATTTATGAAACTTCTAATGTAAGGATCCTTGAGTATGCAATACAGCGCTCTGCTGAAGTTCTCAAGATAGTGCTTTAAAAGTAGTCCTGATGGATGCATCCTTTTCTTCAAGGTTAGAATACCAGGAGAAAATAATCATAATTTTAGTCTAAGAGTAGTGCTCAGCAAAATGATGGACAACAGCATTCACTGATCACAACGAACATCATCCATAGTTTTGCTGATTTGCATAGTTTTTCATCAACAAGACAAAATTCTTTGATTTTACCCAGGCCTGATCCTGGAAGAGAAGAAAAACTGCCATTGATTTAAACTGGTGCTAGATTTGACTTGTACTACAGATATCTTTTTACAAGTACCTCATGCAAACTGATTAATTAATTTCATTCTGAAACTGGGATAGACTCTTTTACATGTATTATGAATCATCCAACAGCATTCTGAAATGCTGTGAATTACAATGTGGTTACATGGGATATATATACAGCATGTGTCAGTAGGAGACCCTGGCACTTTATGTCACTTTGGACTTACCTAACTGATTCCAGGGCAACAGAGATGAACAATCAGTGCAGGGCCTTTCTGTGGCACTATCCGACATTGAAATACCTTGGAAATGGAAGCAGAAATGAAAATATTTGTTGTTTTTACAGATTTCCAAAATTTAAAGTAATTATTGTGCTTTGCCTTGAATCTGCAATTTCAGAGCTCCCAGCACAAGGGTGAAAGGCACATAGAGCTTCTACGTCTGATCCCTCTTTTCCAAATCTACCCTTAGCCAAATCGCAAACCTTTGGAAACAGGTGTTTATGAAGAAACTACTGGCACACATTTAGCCAACACCATAAACTCCAGTGCTGCATCACATACCTGTAGAACAGAAGTGGAAGGGATTTCCATTCTATTTGCAATTCAGCCATGGTTTTACTTACTGTTTTTCTTGAGGAGAGAATGCTGAATTTTGTCCTGGGTGGTTGAGGTTAATCATAGCTGTAGATATCAATACTATCCTATGAGGAGAACAGTGACTTAATGCAACCAGCATGTTAGAATTATTATACCATATATTTGGTTAACTCTATTAAAACCAGCAGGCATAAAAACAGGTTTAATATTAGTTACATGTAAAAATGGACTTTTTTTTTTTTTTTTTCAATTTCTGGATTAATTTAGCAGGTGAAAATCAAGAATATTTAAAAATTGTTAAAAAAATTACCTTTAGCAATAATCTTGTGTTTTCTCTTCTATATGACAGAAGCTGGTTCTTTATCCTATTTTCTTGTGACATGAACAGAGGTTGGTTATGAATGCTACTGCCCTTCATAAAACATTGGTGCTCCTATGCACAGCTGGAAATCTACAGGAAAAAAGCAAACCAAAATATTTTGTTGAGATGTTAGATAAATTTTTTAAAAAACCCTCATTTATTGTTTTCAGCTGTGTCTCTTCCCACAGGCATGGGCACTGTCTCTTCCAGACATTCTCCCTTCCTTACCACTGATACCAGTAGTATGCTTTCCCACTGCAACTGGGAACAGATGTCACCTAGGGATCTTTAGGGGGTGGCAAGGGAAAAGCTGTTTTCTTTCTTTAATGGTATGTGTCCACAGTGAGAACTCTGGGCTTATCAAACTTCTTTCCTGAGGCTTCTACTGGAGATGTGAAGGATTTCAGATTTCTGTCAGATGCTGTCTTCTGCTCTGTGTAATGAATAAATTCTTCCACTGTTGTAATTGGGAATTCTGTAAATATAGAAAGGAGTGAGCCAAATTCTGCCATGGAGACCTTAGAAAAGAATTTTATTCTTCAAGGACTCCCTTATTCAATAATTTGAATACAAATATTGTGTAATGTGTATTCAGGAAACACTGTATTGATTTCAGTAGGTGTCATACAGGACTGTAAGGAATCGGGTACAAAAACAAACTTATTTTCAGAGATGACATCTTTAAAATTGCTTTCTGGTATATCAGGAATCACTTTACTATGACTGCAGCTGATGTTTCAAGTGAAAATAATAGTCTATACAAAAGTCTGGTGAAGAGCAGAAATAAACAGAATTCCAGACTCTGTCTGTGACAGAAAAACACAGATAAAAATTCTAAAGGCAGATAAACAATGTACAACATGTCTGCACTAGTGATAATCCTGTATTCAGAATGACAGGTCACTCTGTCATATGAGTTGAATAAATCGTTTGTAATTTACTGCACAGTAGGTTACTGCTGAGAAAGTAAATAAGAGGCAAAAAGGAACCTGAAATTAAGTTTGAGGTTAATTAATTCCTCGATTTATTTGGAGATCATTTGGCTTTCTGATTTTATAAAACATACTGAACTAAATTAAAACCAGGACACAATCTGAGTGAAAGCAAAGCAGAAAAAGCGAATCTACCTATCATCATCATCATCATCATTCTTTACATGTATGTGTACACCTATACAATGAAATACAGACACAGAATTAGTTGTTTTCTCCCATTGCTAAAATCCCTGCAACCTGAATGATGATGGTGTAGCTTCTGATTTTAAGTAGATCATAGAACAGAGGCAGATGGATTAACTGAGATTTCTGGCAATACTAAAGCATGCAATTAGACAATGTTCGATAAATTAACAGAGAGGTATTCTTGTAGAATTTCTGCTCTGTTATGACTCTGTTCTGCTTCTGTACAGTTCCACCTATGACCAGCTCTTTTATACCTTTACCAGTGGCACTTGGCTAGTTTCATCAGCAGATCCATCTGGCATCTGAAGTAAAACTACTGTAATAACAAAATGCAAAATCTGTTAATTTTTTTGGAGTTCTGTGTTCTATAGCTATTAAGAAGCAAACTATTTTTGATTTTTTTCAAATTTCTCACAGTTTTGTTTGAGAATTTGGTAAAGACCTCTCATGAATTAGTGAAACCATATCCAGTGTTTTTCTGTCTGAGAACAAGTATGAACAAATGCATTCTTTGGCTAAAATAAACTGCTGACATTCATGACATGCATAATGTTACACTGGTCAGACCAAAAGCTATGCAACCCATGTGGTTGTTTTCTGATTCCTTTAAACTGGATGGAATTATGTGGAAGATAGAAGTATGGCACTCCTATATATATATATATATATATATATACACACACTTACTGCTCATTTGGGTAGAGGTAACCACATTTAAGTAATTATGTGTAGTCTGTACATACTTCTTTTTTTTTGTTTTTGTTAGATCTTTGAGTTGTAGCATCAGAAGGATCAGAAATGTGATGTAATTTCAGTATAAGAAGGAAAATGTTTTCCTCATGTAAAACATGTTACCTCCTTCTGTATATCACTGTATAAGAATACTAGATGTGCCAGAGTGCTTCTTAGAAGCAGCTCACTCAAAGAGCACAAAGATGGTAACACATAGAACAAAGGGAAAATGAGGTTCAGAGTCTTTTGTATGGGATACATTAACTGAGCAACAGAGCATCTTGCAGGATTTTATTTTATATATTTTTTTTAACTAGGGACAGTGAGACTCCAGGGTGGCAAGAATGAGTTTGAAGGTACAGTGGAGGTTTATTTGAATGGAATCTGGGGAACAGTCTGTGGGAGCCATTGGGACAATGATGATGCGACAGTCGTATGTCGACAACTTGCACTTGGGTAAGTTTCAGTCTGAGTAAAAATCAGTCAACTTATTTCAATGATGTTTCAGTATAAAGGGCGATCTGTTTTGCAAATCCTGAGACCTCTTTGTGGTGATTGTTTTTTCTGTTTAAAGTTGTTGAATGCTGAAGTTGTTCTTCCCAGAATCCTTCAATTCCTTCAATTGCATTGTACTTCAAAGAGATCACTGTGAGAATCAGTATTTCATTTGAAAGCTGCATGTGTGATCTGGAGGGGAACAGACCAGCCTAGAAACTCTCCTTTCCAAGTGAAAAGTGCGAACAGGCCAGAAAAGCTTTGCAAACAAAAGCTACTTTACTAGACCTCCAGGAGATGTCCACAAGGGGAGAAATATGAGGTCTGATCTTATCTCACTTATGGAAGTGTCAATTAAGAACAGCTCCAGTGAGGTTACTGAATCTATAAAAATGTAAATGTATCCAGAATTAGACTCTATATGGGCTCCTAATCATAGGAAAATTCCTATGATGAGAGCTTGGCATTCATTCCACCCTGCAAAAAAACATGGGACTCATCCTAGGTTTCTGGAAAATATGGCATTTTTGTTAGGCATATCTTCATCTAGTTAGATAATCTGTGTGGCTTACTTTCAGAATTGCACACTCTCAACAAAACCCTCCAAAAACCAGACAAGTTTTGTAGCTTTACATTTCTGTGGCAATGTTTCACAGAGTTAAAGTAATACTGTACATAATAAAGTAAATAAAAGATAGAGTACAAAATAAAGTATAATGCAGGTTGAAAGTCCCTGCATTGTCCTCATTGACCACTACTTCCCACTGCTCTTGGAACAGGACCCTATAATATAATTAGTCATTAAATTCTAGATAATGCCTATAGTGATACTGCAGTTGCAGTAGTAAGATAAAATTGAGGTAAGGAAGAAAATGCCCATGCCAGAAGGCAGTCTAATAAATAAAATGCAATCTCAGCTTCTAAAGAATGAATGCTCTTCAAGTTAGCAACCAAATCATTTGAATATCCCCCCTCCCGCCTTTAGCACCTCATTCAGTTTGCACTTTCTGAATAAGCCACAAAGTATCACTGCCTTTATTGCCTTTCTAACATTTCTTTCAGTCACATACCAAAGTAGTGATTTTGTCTGCTACAAGCAGTAAAGGGCTTTTATAGCATACTTGCAATGTTACATTCCTAATGATTATTCTACTGTTTAAGACTGCTAGCCAGAACTAAGTCTAAACTGCTTTATAATGTTCAATATGGACGCACCATGTCAATTTATAAAAATATGAGGATTAGATGAGATAAAAGTTCAGCCATCTGGAAGCTTATGATTTCATCTGTCTATGTGCAATGTCTCCTTTCCTCATTTTTATGTAAGTTCTTTTTGCCTTCCATATCCTATGTTCAACTTCAGTTGAACACCACCACTATTAGCAAAAGTAGTTCAGTGATACAGGTGAACGATTTGGTCTTTCCAATAGAAATGGCTTAAACCTCAATCGAGGCCAAAAAGCTGCAAGCACACATCAGCTGAAAGCTTCTGTTACCATGAGTGTTTCACAGGAATTCAGATCTATATCCCACAAGGTAAACTCACCAGGTGCTATTGGTGTCTTTCAGGTGCTTCCATCTATTCATTTGCTTTTAAAATATTTGGACTTTAGTTTTAATTTAATCTTGTTAATTAAATTAAGCTTTTTAGTTTGGCATTATATGGAAGAAAAGATGGCTGAATGATTATCACTGTAGGTTCAGTATGGGAAGGAAAAGGAAGCTGTTTATAAATACTCTGGATGGGAATGGCTGAATAGAGATAATGAACATTACATCCTGATGTAATGGCGTATGAGGTGGTTTCAATGCCCCATGGACACAACTGTATTATATGACGTGTATGGGCAGAGCACTGGTGTGTTTTAATGGAGCAAAGGTGAGGATAAGCATCAAAGGTAAGAGGTAAACTGTTAGCATTAGCTCTCCTGGCAACAGCAGTGGGATAGTACTATAGATTCACCCAGGGACTGTGGACTCCGTGTTGATTTTTGTAGTTAAGAACTGAGAGAACAGGGATGTGCCTGGCCATGCAGCAACACAGGCCACTGTATTAAAATATACCACAACAAAATAGTGAGAACTGGGTCACATCTGTTACTTTTCTTTGTGCAGAAGACAATATTGAACTGTATGAAAGTATGATGAATTTATACTGCTAAAGAAAGGGTTTTCTTCTCCAGGATTTAGAGATGAGAAAATGTTCCACTTCCGCTCCTCCCACTCTAATGTCCTATCCTGATTATTTTTCTTACAGTGAAAAAGGTACAGCAAAACATGTACCATTTTCTGGACTGGGCCTTACTCCTGTTTACTGGAATGAAGTGCGTTGTCGTGGTGATGAAGAAAATATATTGTTATGTGAAAAAGACATCTGGCATGATGGAACATGTCCTCAAAAAATGGCAGCTGCTGTCACATGTAGCTCTTCCCTGGGTAAAAAAAACCTTATCGTTTGGTTACCTCCTTACCTTACTTAAATAGAAGTAGCAGTAATTACTCATTATTAAATTAGAAAAAACTATTAAGACTTGTTGGAACAGGAAATTAAACAGATTGTATCATTGCATCATTAACTGTTTCAAATCCCTCTATGCTGTGCAAGCCTCAACTAGCTGAACTGCTTTTTACCTTCCCATAGTCAACAAGAAAATTGGTGTTTTGAGATTTGGCTGTGAGAAAGGGTGAAGCAGCAAGAATCTTCTACTGTAAAATTAGGAATTTTTCCCCCCACATCTTTTTAACTTAAAAAAGTTATTCATTTATTTACCCAGAGGGTGTCTTTGATAGCTACATAAGCTACATGTCAATTTGTTAGCTTTTCTTGAACAGTAGGGAGGAGCATCAATTTCATAAATAGGTGATGCCTTCTCCTTTGGTACAGAAGTGTTGGGATGACATTCCTTCCTGTGAACGTGGCTGACATTGCACAAGGAGCTATAAAATTTTTGCCCTGTTCTGCATACATTTAAAAAAAGTACAAGGCTTTCTAGCTTAAGACTGTTACCATACACATCACTCCCACAAGTCAAATTGATATTGTTAGAAAAAAGTATTATTAATGTTTCTAAGATGTGTCAGATTATTTTAATCAATATGCTAACCAGCAACTAAGCAGGTAATCATGCCATCAGATTTAAGATACTGCTACCCCTGAGGAAGGCTAGGCTGGCAGTGCTGAGGAGCTGGTAATGCCAGTTTCTTCTCCTGTATCTAAAACATGGATGGCCACAGTCAGTTCTGTGCTGCGTTTCCTCTCCTATTTATATTTCCTTACTTAATGCCAAAGGCAGATGCATTTTTGTCCTAAAGCACCACTATTCATGAGGAATATTTTGATAAATGACTTCTAAAAAATCATTATGGTCTTAATTGAGAAAACTATAGTGCAGAAGGACAGGAGAATCTTTAAACTAGCAGATGAGTTGAAGGACCAAAGCAAGAGAAATAGTTTTGCTTAAAGACACTGAAAACTATAAATTTGCAAATTATACTTTTAGATTATAAGGTTTTCCTTCTTTTTACGGACATTTTCGTCAGAAAACTTTGTTTTGCTTAGGTAAATTTATTAAAGGACTGTTGTCTGTTATCTGTAATGCTGAAAGAAAGTTTATCAAGTAATGTAGAGTCCAGGATATCGGAAATGAATTAAACTGATCCCAAGTTTCAGCAGATTAGATGAAGCTTTTGTGTTTTAAAGGTTTTACTGCAACTAGAAGCCTTTTTAAGTAATTACAAATGCCCTCCGTTTTTTTGTAAGCCAAGAAGTAGATGAAATAGTAGCATTAATTGCTTGGAAGGCCTACCAAAAAAAAAAAATTAATCACATTTTAAATCATTCAGATGTTATATATGATGAAACTTTAAAATGACCTTTTTAAATAATATAGCAATGATTTTCCATATGGTTTTAAGCTATTGCATTATTATTACTTTATGCAGAAGTGATGCTTTCAAGACAATTTCTTGCTGGACCAGAAAAGGGCTAAGGGTTTGAAAAGACCAAAAACCAAACCGTATCTCAGAAACAGGAAGGGAATAAATTAAAGTGAGACTCCACAGTCAATGAGATTTCACTGCTCTGACTGGAATTACCAAAGAAATGAGAAAACATGAGGATAAATTTCTACTTCTGTGGTAATGAAAGAATTTGGGCCTCTTAACTTCAGATTTTACCCTCTGGGACCAAGCCCATACAGAGCCAATTTTGCTCATACTGGTAGAAATGCAGCTGTAATTGATTGATTGTAGTATTTGGCCTTACAGCCCTAAGTACCTGTGAACATTCTTACGCTTAAGTAACTCAAGATCAGTATGGTTACTTGTCTGTAACCATAATATTCTTCAGCTACTGAAGACTGGCACTAGGAGAACTCTTTTTTTTTTCAGGTTTTCCATCTAGCAAAAAAAAAAAAAAAAGTGTGGTTCTTGAGGGATGTCAGAGAAACAATTAAGTGATCTTTTTTCTTTACTATTGGGATAACATTTGGGGGAAGAAATAACCTTTTCCTATATTCTGTGTTTGATCACAGTCTTTACTCCAATCCGGCTGGCTGGTGGGAGCAACGCTCATGAAGGAAGAGTAGAAGTCTATCATGCTGGCCAGTGGGGGACTGTCTGTGATGATCAGTGGGATGATGCAGATGCTGAAGTCATCTGTCGGCAGCTTGGCCTTGGGTTTGTTTTATTACATATTTTCTCCTCCAGCAGCAAAGCAGGAGAGTTAGTCAAATACAGAGCTTGGAGTTGTCAAAAGATGCTCCTTTAAAACTGCACTAATACTTTGAAGCAGTAACTAAGTTTATTTACAGAAGGTTCAGGCACAGCACTATTACTTTCAATTCCCTGGAACTCTGATTTATAGGAGGCAGTTTTCAGTGTCAGTCAGGGGCAATTTGTCTGTAAATCAGTCAAAAGATGCTAACTTTCTAGTGAAAACGTACTACAATTTCAGTAAACTTTCAATCAAAAACTGTAGGTGAAAAAAACCAAGCTCCTTTGATTATTAAAATCCTTACATGCATTTTACTCAAAAGTCTAACAGCCTCCTTGCTTTGGAGTAAGAGCATTGCTTTGACAGAAAGGATATGTTTTTTGGCATGCCTGTGAGAATCTTTCAAGATTTGTGTAAGTCACAAGTCTCTGAAGATTGTCACTTTGCATATACTGAGTAGAGATCAATTTGAACTTTTGACAATTAAAACTTATCAGTGTTTCTGTCTGACTAAGCATGGTCCATGATAGAGTCATAGTAGCTGAACAGGATTTTCCTGCTCCGCAGAGAGGAGCAAGGAAAAAAATCACCCTCTGGGGGTGATTTTGATACCACACAGAAGGTAAGTATTAAGTATTTGAGGAAAGACGCTTTAGAAGTGGGAGGCAAAGAGAAGAACTGCTGTATCAGAGAGGAACGAGATGGTGACAGTTGGGATGAAATGCCATATGGGTTGAAGAGGGAAAGAACTAGGAGCAAGATACTAAGATGTATCCTAAGGAGGACAAGGGAATTATATCTGAGACAGAATGGAGGAGAACAAAGCAGGTAAGTGCAAAGGAGACTGGAACAGAACTCTTCTGTTGCTGCTGGGATTATGATGAATTAAAAGAAGTGGCACTGAAGGTAGGAAGTTTTGTGGCATTAGATTTGTGGCCCCTAGAGTGTACTTATTTTGTAACCTGCCACTGAGGCCTTGGACTGCTGATGCCATCAAAATTAGCTCAAAAAAATGAATACAGTGCAGTACTCCAAAAGTTCCTAGATCTCCTGGTAAGCTATGTGGGAATCTACATGCTCCTCTGATATCAGATTTTCATTTTCCTCTGGTTTATTTTATACTATATTTCTATATCCCCTGGTTTATTTTATACTATATTTCTATATTCCTGTACATTTTCAATTGGGAATACCAAACAGGAAGTCTCATCATCTTACTGCCTTTTTCTGCTTCTGAATTGGGCCACTATTAATAAGTTTGGTGATTTACTAAGCTATGCTTTACATTTCTGTATGCTAATGACAAACGTCATGCTCTTAACCTGCCGCCTTGCTTATTATACAAAAATATCTGATTACTTATATTTAATGTTCATGAGCTGCTGTTCTGAGAAGCTTCTAGTTTGATTAGTTTTTCTGAGTAAATAAATAGTATTAAGATGGTGCTAAGTTTTTTTGAAATATGTATAGACATTTACAGAATTTCTCAAGTAACAGACATGTCTTGACAAATATGCTCACTATGTGAAATAGAATTTTACCAACCGTGGCAGCAGACCACTTATGAAGCAATAAAAGTGATTGAAACTTAAATACTGTTAATCAGTCTGGAAATGTGCTTCAAATTGTAAAAGTAAAGCATCTCAGTAAGTAGCTTCCCACACCCTTTGAACTTTTCCTTTTTTAATAAATTCCAGTTTTTTAAAAAATTCTTGACATTGATGAAAGAAAAAAAATATCAGTGCAAGATATGTCAGTATGTTATTTGGAATTAGGAAGATAATTTGGAAGAAAAGGTAATATCTAAAAAGCACTCTCAAGAATATGGTACTAACTTCAGACTGAAGCTACATGTTTAGCTAAAATGTTTCCTGCTGAGTGAGGACATTTTTGGCTTGCTTACCTGCTTCTTTGAAGCAATTGGAGACTAACTCTCCTCTCCACTGAGTAAGATGACTTGCTTTCTGGTATTTTACAAGTTCTCTATCATTTGAAGAAGGCATCTGGTTATCAAAGGAAGAGTTTGAAAAATAACAGTACCTTTTCAAGATTAAGCATATTGGCTTGAAATATTAAAACCAAATTGATTTAAAAAAATGACAATACAAACCAGATTATTTCATCTACCTTTCTTGTGTGCTTTTATTTACTGAGAACTATCATCTATACAGTCTCTACCATGAATTTCCACATCCTTCCTTTTCATAGAACTTTTTCCTGATCCTAATTTAATTTTCATAAGGTTCTTATTTCTGTTGTTTTTTTTTAACCATACCATTTACTCTTTATCAAGAATTTGCATGATTGCCAATTGTAAATTTAGTATTATTTTCCTTAAAAAAAAAAAAAAAGAAAGAACAGGGATTGTTAAATATTTACACAAAGCACTAGAAATGAAATTCACATCTATGTAAATCCATACATGGATTAATGAGGCAGTGCCTTAAAAACTTGGAACACCTCCAACTTACATTTAAAACAAAATAATTCACAGCAGGGTACTACTCTGACACACAGTTTCAAAAGCCAGTTAAGAGTCTGAATGATCACATCTCAAAAAAAAATAGTCAATACCTGTCGTGCTTTCAATATAAGCTGGACGTACCATTCCTGTTAGGTGTTATGTGATAAGATACAGCTGGTAGTGGAAAACTCTTTAAAGCAAATGAATAAGTAGTACAGTGCCCTGTATCCAAACTGTACGTTAATTAATTTAAACTAACCCTTTAGATAGGTAATTCATTATAGTAAAAAAAAAAAATTAGGTAGATATTTTAATCTTACAAGTTGAAAAAGACAACAGATACTGAGAATACTTCTATAAAAACTTGACTGGATATGTGAACAGAGAAACTATTGAATGGAAAGAAAACAAACCATCTGAAAAAAACATTTACATATGAAAGACATGGTATCTTAATTAGCACTAGAAATATCCTGATAGATCATCAAGTCTTAAACACTGTATAATTTCTGTAATGCTGAAACAATGGAGCATTTTCAATTTACACAGATTTTTCTGTGCAAAATCCTCTATGCTGACACAAAAAGTGTAACACACACAAGGCTGGCCACTGGTCTGCTTTCTGTTCTTGTTGCTACCACTGACTGTCAAGTTATGACAGTCAAGTTACTTGAGATCTCCCTGCTGTGATTTTTCCATGACTAAATGGGGAACAATCACTTCTATCTGCCTCGTCTGGGTATCTGAGATTTGATTAATGTGCTTTAAGGACAACAGATGAAAGTCACTGTAAAAATATATATTGGATTATTTTACTACATATAAACATTAAATGAAAATTAAAATTAGAATCCTCGTACCCAAGATGTACATCAGTAATCTCCTCATGAAAGTTATGCTTAAAAAGTCAAAAAGGACAGAAAAGGAAAATCTCATAGATACAAAACAACAGAAACTGATATTCTAAACATGTTGAAATCGTCACTCTGTAGCCCCAGCTGAGACTGAAGTTGACTGTGGAACCACAAACACTACATCACACGATGCGGGCTGCATTGACACAGGTATTCAGGCAGTTTCCTTGCTATTTTAGAAGTTGGATTTGTAACATTTTAGTTCTTCCTGCTGAGTCCCATCTCTTCAGCTTTCTTGTTCTTGAGGGTTCGTTACATTTTGACAGGGGTGTTGCAAAGGCATGGAGCCAGGCTTACTTTGGAGAAGGCTCAGGTCCCGTGCTACTGGATGAAGTGCAGTGCACAGGAAATGAACTATCCATAGAGCAGTGTCCAAAAAGCTCCTGGCGAGAACACAACTGTGACCACAAAGAAGATGCTGGTGTTTCCTGCACACCTCTCACAGGTACTTTAATTACCAATAATCACCCAGGAAAACAGTAACAAATGCAGAGTTCACAGCCCTGGAAAGAGCATTTTGAAAGTTTGCTGATGCATAGAATCCCACAGTAATAAAGTGTGCTGGCAGTATCAAAACGAACCAACTATGGAAATTTTGGGTATGGATATTTTTACAATACAAAACCCCTCATTGTTTAGCACAAAGCCTTGGTTCCTCAGTAATACACTAACTGCCACTTACTATGTGAGACATGCCTTAAATGTGTATCACATCTACCAATGGCAGTTAGTATTTCAGCATAAAAGCAACAGAAAATAACAGAATACATAAAGAAAAATATAAGGTGTTTACAAAGCAAAATCACATAATCAGAGCCCACTCCTGTGGACTTGGCATGTAATAAGGGTTTAGGAGACCAGTATCTTGTGCTAGCTCTCTTGCAATTGAGCAACTGCATTATGCAATACTTCACAGCTGTCTGGCTTTATGGCATATCTCAGCTTGTCATTAAACGACACCTAGTGATCAGCACTAGATGTGGTAGTCTAATATTCTGTTCATATGCAGTAAAGGCAATGTTACTAATTTTGGCTTAGAACAATGACTGGACCCAAGAAAAACTGATTCTTGTTTTTGTTTTTCCTTAATTGTTAATGACACAGATGGTGCATTAAGACTAGCAAGTGGGAAAGGCAATCATGAGGGACGCCTGGAGGTCTATTATACTGGGCAGTGGGGCACAATCTGCGATGATGGGTGGACAGAGCTGAATACACAAGTGGTTTGCCGGCAGCTGGGATTTAAGTAAGATTACTTGATATTAGATGTATGACTCTTTGACTTGGTAATGATGACAAACATTTAGATGAACCCTGCATTATACAAGAGTCTGTTTCTTTAACATTAGCTGAGTGCTTCATAGAAACTGAGTTAAAATCCCTTAAAGCCTACTTCCCTCAGCCTCAAAGAGGTAATATGGCCTTAGTTTAGGTAGAAGAAAAAGCTTCAACTGAGGTTGTGATTCAGCAGCCTTTATTCACTGATCTCCTTCCAATCATCCTTTTGGCTGAGATGTTATATGTATATTCATATGTTATAGAGATATGCATATGTTATGCATATGTTATGCATATGTTATAGAGAAAAAATTATTTGTTCTATTTTGCCTGTAAAAAATTGATTCGCCAAAGTCTTTCCTTGTTGAACAGCAATTACAAATCACAGACACTTTCAAGGTGTAATTCCTTCTGAAACTAGCACAGAAAACCCCGCAGTCTGGCAGTGTAACACTGATACGTATCGAGAAGCATATTTCAGAAAAAAATCTCATTAGAGATTCACCCTTCACTACTTTTCTACTGGCTGTGGCTACAAAGATACACTCTTGCTAGATGATTGTTGTCTTGCCTTCAGGTTATAAGAGCTCACATTCAAAAAAAATTTTGTCTCATTTTCCTCAGACTGTGGCATTTAAGTGTATATATAATACTAAGAACATGCTTTAAGTCTGAAAAGTCAGTGATTCAGCCATATGCTTGGTTGGAGGGAGGCCTTAATCAAAGGTATTACACTCACAAGTTTGTATTAATGTAATGATAATTTCTTAAAAAAAAGCATCACCAAGGAAGCAACATGGTGTTCCCATTGAATGTAATACTGACTGAACCTGTTCTGTCACAGTTAAAACTATTTACTGGTACTACTCGAGAAACCTTTATTTCTTCAGAAATAAATCATTTTCTTTCTAGTGCTTAAGTATGACTCCTCATCCTACCACTCTGGACCAAAACGTTACCTATATGTTATGCAGGTATGGAAAACATGCCCCAGAGAGCTACTCAGAAGGAAGCTCTGGGCCCATCTGGTTAGATGATGTCAGCTGCTCAGGGAAGGAGACAAACCTCCTGCAATGCTCATGGAGAGAGTGGGGAAAACATGACTGCAACCATCACGAGGACGTCAGACTTATTTGCCATCCAGATAATGACAACCATAAGCTCACACTCGGTAAGGCACCTCTTTGTTAAAGTCACAGCATAAGTATTGTGGTGGGTGCAGATTTGAGAAAAGTATAGTATACTTAAAGATGCTCAAAGTTAATATTTGGCAGATGTGTGTAAAGAAGGGAAGGTAAAAAAAAGCTCACTTTTCCTCCTGAATCAAGCTTTGTTTAAAGGAACATAGACAACCAGAGCATTAAAGATAGACACAAATTTGTAACAAAGTCAGATTACAGAGATTTCAGTATTCATTAGATTTTAGACCTATTCAGCAGTTCCTAATGGTATACCTCATTTCACTCAGTGCTCTCCAAGTTCTAAGTAACTCTCTCATGCTGTCAAAAGTTGGAGACATACACTAGCACTGAGGAATATAAATCAGTAGTATATCTGCCTTACATTCAAGTAATCTGAAAAAAGAGGTATGGAGGAAGAAGGTAAGTTCAAAGAAAGCAAAAAGGAAGGGTGAGAAGCATGAAATTATTTCTGTATGAGGATTGCCTATCATTTATATTGTGCTTGGGTAAGTGGGCTAATTATATACTGGCACTGTAGAATAAAATATATGCAAATGAATGCCAAAGATTCCCAAGTCCACATGTAATAATTAAACAAGGATTCTGGCTATCAGATATGCACAGTTCTTACAAGAGAACAAGGGGTTGCTCAGTGATTTTAAGAAGGTTCATTTTTAAAATTTACTACCTACAAAGTTTGTAACTGTAACCTGTAACAGCAGGTAGCCTTTTACAAAATCATTGCTGACAGTCTTCAGTTTATCTGAGTATATTTTAGTCGAGTCTGAATTTAGAATGATAACTAGTGGAGTTAGAGCCACAGCTTCTACTGAAATGCAGTGGATTTGTACGCCCGAGTGCCTGAAGTTCTCTAGAAATTACAGACTGAAGGTCTATCCTGCAAACTAAGGCATGGATTCACTGCAAGACACTGCCAACTGTTGTAACAACACTCAGCACTTCCACATGTACTTTTCTGGTCCTCCCCTCTTTATAGTCTTTTTCTTTATAACCTTTTGACCTCTCACAATCCAATGAATGCTTTATGTTGCAGTACAGTTCCATTATGTGTAGATGATGTCAAATTATATTTGGTAGACAGAATTTTCTCAGACCAAATGTAACAGGAATTCAATGACTGTTGTCTTTACAAACGTGAACCATCTGTGCTGCTTTGTTGAAATTCCTAAAAAAGGTAATCTTATCTGAAGGAGGTTTGGTTCAGTTAAAGGCATCAATATGTTAACATTTAAAGTTAACAGTTAAATGCATCAATATGTTAACATTCTCACACATTCATCATTACGAGAAAGTTTTATTAATTTCATGATCATAAGTTTATATGCTTCTAGCTGGGTAATCATCTTGTTCCAGAGTAACACATAATTTCAACAACAAAATGAAGACAGTGAATCTGACATTTCCTACGAGACTTCTGATTGGAAAGTGGACAAAGACTGTTGCTACCATTTACTTTCCAGCATTTGAAAAAGCCCTCTAGGGATGACCTGAGGAGATATGGACATTAAGAAACATTAAGGAAAAGTGAAATAGAATACACTACAATAACTACAACACTTGTTTACTATGTAAGATCATAACAATGCACCTAAACCAGAAAGTTGTTGAAGTTAATTCATGTAGATTTCCTGACAGTATGAACTCCAGTATAAACAACATGCTTTAAATAACATTTGAAGCAAAGAGACTTGAATTTTGTTTTCAAATCTTTCCTTTTTTAATTAATTAATTAGGTTATATTTAACTAGCTCTGATCCAGAATAAGGTTTGGTGTACAAAAGTTACTCATACCCTAAATGAATCTGAATTAAATAGCAAACAGAAATGTCTCAAAATTAAGAGCATAGGTAAGTAATTTCTTATCCTAACTGATTTAGAAAAGATTAGAAACAGGTTAGAAGAATGAGGACAGTCTTTCCAACTATTCTGAAAAGAAACTCTGATTAGTGTACTAAGGATTGTAAAGTATGACATATTAGAAGATTTAGAAGGCGATTCTCACTTAAACATTATAAAGAGGCCTCAAAGGAATTCATAACTGTTTTAAGGCTACTTGCATTGCTCGCCTGCTACAAAGGAGTTTTAGTAAGAAAGAATCCAGTTAGTACTTTGCCCAATGATTCAAAATTTAACTACAAGCCAAGCACTGAGTGAATGTCTGACTAATCCATATTAGTGGGATTTTGTATCATGAACATATCTGAATAAACAATTTCAATTGATTAGAAAATAATCACATATTAGGCTAGAATAACATGCTGTAGAACATGATGCTGTCACACAAAAGATGCTACAGATCAGCATGCATGACGTTAAGTAATAACTTCAACACAATGTTGCCCTTTTTTACTGAGATAGAGGTTAAGATAAGTGGTAGCAACCAGTTTGAGAATGCGTTCATGAATTGAGATACAGTTAAATTCACTCACATAAAGTTCCTGCAAGGAAAGCCTGTCCAGCTTGTATAGGCATCATATTAAAGATATGATAGGTGTTTGCTGCCTTTAGCGGTAGAATTGCTGTGTGCCCATGGCCGTCAAATTCTGAGCCATGTCACCTATTTGTATAAAATGGAGGAACCAGATGAATTATGAAGTTCAAAATGGAGCACTATTTTGTATTTGTCTTGCAATTCGTACAAACTGATTTATTTTGCCAGCCAGAAAAAATATGACTACTGTAACAGCTGGTATTAGGCTTGTCAAACATAAACATCATTTGACCCTATACACTGAACGTGATGAAAATGACTTAAAGTACTAGTTCTTGCATTTGTTATTCTAAATTGACAGCAACAATTTTTCCAGGTCCCCCCATCAGGTTGATGGATGGTGAGAATAAGAAGGAAGGACGTGTAGAGATTTTTATCAATGGACAGTGGGGCACGATTTGTGATGATGGATGGTCTGATAAGGATGCAGCTGTGGTCTGTCGACAGCTTGGCTACAAGTAAGAAAACTCATTAAGGTGTTTCTCAAGCTATCCATTTACTGTATCTAAAAATGTTAATTTCTGCAACCAAATATCACCAACATATACCTTTCAAAACTTGCCAGTTTGGCATTGTTTTAGAAAAGTGTATTTATACTAGTCAGATAAGAAGTCGTAAGGATATGTCTGCAAAAGAAGTATTCATTAACTAGCATAATTGGGAAGAAGAATTTTAATATCCAAAGGCACATCACAGTCTGTCAACTAAAGCACAAGTTAATGATAGTTATTACATATTCTTTTAGGAGGTAAATATTCTGGATACCTAAGACCAGTAAAAATACAACAACGTATAAATAGCAAAACTAATATGAGATGAAAAATATCCAAAGTGCTAGTGGATACAACAGGAAAGCAGTGAAATGTCTTCTCTTGAGTCTGTCAAGAAATCTAAGCTTAAGAAATACAAATCATGTTATCTGTTTGCTGTATCTCACAAAGTAACATTTGTGCAAGCAAATATCCTCAAATTATGAGTGAACGCATAATATATGCCTTTTTAAAATTGCCTGGTATTTGTTTAGTAAAGCATATTTATAAGTCATAGTAGACTATGGCTTCAAAATTACAAAATTTGACCTTACATGTTCCACCAAATCATTAATTTAGTCTGCTTCATCCTCAGCCTCTTTGGCTTTTTAGATGTCTCCCTCAGATGATTAAATGCAAACACTTTATGTTTTTAAATCACTGCAAGGACAGTGTTGGGATTCTCAATGAGTCTCAAAATGGGGGATTAAGATTATAGGCTACAACAGAGCACGTGTTCCCTGAATAACTAGGGAAAGACAAAATTTTAGAAATCTAAAATCAGGTTTTAGAAACTGGGAGGGCTTGTTGGAAACTCTGCATCTCGGTGACCCTATGTCTAGACAGTTGCATTCTACAAACCCGACTTTGCAGTTATGTGCACTTATGAGCTGGAATTTCTTCTGGGCCTTGAAGTTCATGATGGAATCAGAAAAGAAGAAATTATTTTTAGCATTCACAGATGCTGGTTTTATATCCAGATTACAAAGATTATGAAAAAGCAGCTTTCACATATTTTGGTTTATAAATATTTGTAATGCTGTTGCAATGAAAATACTTTGCATCGTGCCTTCTAACAGGATACATAAAAGCACTTTATAAACATTAATGAACTGCAGCAATTTTGTTGCACTTATTTTTCTTCTACATACCAGAGTAATGGAGACAATGAGAACAAAATTTGCCATCAAGTGAATCAGTGACAGGACTTGGAACGAAATCTCCATGTCTTTCACTACTCACTGAAATGTTTTGGTTGAGTAAAATGTAGTATAACACCTCAAAATGTTTAATAAAAAATATATACTATATTTCCAGAGGTCTGGCTAGAGCAAGGACAATGGCTTACTTTGGGGAAGGCAAAGGCCCAATCCACGTGGATAATGTGAAATGTACAGGAAATGAGAGATCCTTGGCAGACTGCATTAAAGAAAACATTGGGACTCACAACTGCCGCCACAGTGAGGATGCAGGAGTGATTTGTGACCACCTAAGCAAGAAGGCCCTAGGGAACAGCAATAAAGGTGAAGCCCCACTGTGAGTGGAAGACCAACAGGTTAGGATGGAGAACCATCATGGTAGGAAGGGACAGACGTAAACATTCCCACATCACAGAGCAAACAATTATATGAAAAGAATTACAGACACAGAAATGCTGGGAAATCCTCTCTGCTTACACTCTATGATCTTATCCCTGTGCCAGGTGAATAAAGGTATCATAAAGACGATTCAAATGATATGGGGTACTTCTCTGCCATAGTTTGCAGCAGCCATGTTTCTTAAGTTGTATATGGGACATGAAAATGCAAAAACTTATGCAGTTACTTTAAACTTTGCATGGTATCTTCAACTGAGGACTGAGACACATGTGGTATGATGTGAAGCAAAGAACTCTATAAAAAATCCTAAACTTGAAAAGCAGAGCACAAATGTGTAAATTGCTCTGTGATCACAGTCAAAAAAAACCCAAACTCAGCTACAAAGAATTTCTAAGAGAAATTCTCAGAGAATTCAGTCTATATTCCCCAAGTAAAATTTGTTTCTTAAAAACTCCTGTGAAGCACAGAATAACTTCAGCCTTCATGGTTGCTTTTTAGTTAACTGTCGTTAAAGACTGACTACTTTTGCTTTTGAGTTTAATGCTGTCTATGTCTCGCTTTCTGGTTTAGATTCTCTTGCTTCTGTTTGTGGATTGAGGTTACTACATCGTCGACAAAAGCGAATAATTGGTGGGAAAAATTCTTTACGGTAAATAATTTGTAAAACCAAATAATTTTGAATATAAAGCTTCTAAAACATGTATTTGCCATAAGCAGCTTGCCTAATTTATGTTTTTATTGTAGTTTGTGGTTTTATTTTTCTCTTCAGAGCAAATTTGGTAGAAAATTAAAAAATATTCACTGATAAATACTTGCAGCATTTGGTTAAGACCTTTAAGTGTTTATGGGTTTAGTCCTTGATTGGGTTGAATTTCTTACTTTCAAAAAAGCCAGCTTACTTTTTTTTTAAAGGATATCTTGATATCAGGATGTGAATGAAGAGAGCTATGAATGCTGCAGAAATGTCAGAGAAGGACGTGGGGGTATTGGTTGATGAGAAACTGAACATGAGCAGGCAGTGTGCGCTTGCAGCCCAGAAAGCCAACCGTATCCTGGGCTGCATCAAAAGTGTGACCAGCAGGTCAAAGGAGGTGATCCTGCCCCTCTACTCTGCTCTCGTGAGACCTCACCTGGAGTATTGTGTCAGTTCTGGTGTCCTCAACATAAAAAGGACATGGAACTGTTGGAACAAGTCCAGAGGAGGGCCACGAGGATGATCAGGGGACTGGAGCACCTCACATATAAAGACAGGCTGAGAAAGTTGGGGCTGTTCAGCCTGGAGAAGAGAAGGCTGCGTAGAGACCTCATAGCAGCCTTCCAGTATCTGAAGGGGGCCTATAAGGATGCTGGGGAGGGACTCTTCATTAGGGACTGTAGTGACAGGACAAGGGGTAACGGGTTCAGACTTAAACAGGGGAAGTTTAGATTGAATATAAGGAAGAAGTTCTTTACTGTGAGGGTGGTGAGGCACTGGAACGGGTTGCCCCGGGAAGTTGTGAATGCTCCATCCCTGGCAGTGTTGAAGGCCAGGTTGGTCAGAGCCTTGGGTGAGATGGTTTAGTGTGAGGTGTCCCTGCCCATGGCAGGGGGGTTGGAACTAGGTGATCTTAAGATCCTTTTCAACCCTAACTATGATTCTGTGTATTGCAAAAAAAGGCTTGGTGTCCTGGGTATGGGTTTACAGTTAATTTTCTCCTTCTTAATAGCTCATGTACTGATGTAGCAGGATTTGAGAATTGTAAAGGTCTTGGATATCCTTTGGATACCTTTGAAACCTGCCTGCTGCTTTTGCTGGGAATCAGCACGTTGCCACAAATACAGCATGTGTTTTACCCATGGCCATACCACCTTGAGAATGCCCTGCTTCATCTAATCTTGAAAGTTAAGCAGGGTTAGGCTTGGGTATTGTCTAAGGTTAAATGATGATCTAAGAGGACCAAGAGATTTTTCCCAAGACTGGACAGTCATGAGTGGCAGGGTGTGTGGGATTGTATGGGCAAGCACCTGGGCCAGTGGGCCCCTCCAGTGCTTTGGAATTGCATCCTTGAACAGTGTGAAATCCAGAAAAATTAGCAGAACAGTCAGACGAGGTGTGCTGTTGTCCTGGCAATACCCAGAGAGGGACAAATGACCACAATGTGCTGGGGTTTGGCCTGCACCTACAGAGCGCCTGTGGAAAAAAATGTCTCTGGATCTGATGACAAAGCAACAGAAAACGGAGCTACTCAACCCCCAAGTACAGCAGTTACACCAACCTCAGTGGCAGACACTGCAGCCACTCCAGTCACAGTGATAGACACTGCAGCTGAACCAAAGGACCAATCCATGCCAATATCAGTTGCCCCCAGAAGCAAGGGGAAGAGCAAACGAGAGCCACAAACAGCAACCAGTGCAGTGAAGAAAGATGAAGATCCAATGTGTGTGCTAGAGGGGATGGCATCTGAACGAGAGTTATTAATAGAGGAAATAGAGGAAGAAGAGGTAACTTCTCGATCCCAGACCTCAACCAAGCTGCGAAATACACAAGAAGATTTCAGCCATCTTCCAGCTAAGCACATCATCACAGGATGCTGGGATAATGGGGCCAATGCTCATGAACTAGAATGCAGGGAAGCCAAGCAGCTGGGATCACTTGCTAGGGAAGGGGGAATTGACAAAGCGATTGCAAAAGAGAAACAAGCCCTTAGCCTTTGGAGGTGGCTCTTAGCAGCTGTGAAGGAAAGGTATCCCTGCAAGGAAGATGTTATGTGTCTCTCAGTGGACCATGACAGAGAAAGGCATCCAGCCCCTGGGGAATCAACCATTCTAGAGATGATCTGTTGTAGGCCAGATGCTGGGAACACACCCATAGATCCAGACGAAGTTGAATGTTATGCAACCCATTTGGTGGAAACTTACACAGAGTGCACCATCATCATATGCCCACTCACTGGCATCAATGACATGGACTGAGGTAGCATCACCAAGAGTGGATGAAGTGAGTCGGCAACTCCGAGAATTCAAAGACAATCTCACCCCTTCCATCATTTCAGCTGCAGAAAAACTCCTGACCCAGGAGTTCAAACCAACTGAGAGACGATCTATCCAGTTCCCAATGTGTACCAACCCATCTCTAAGCTATTAACAGAAGGTACTCTACTGCCTGAGAGAGAAAATGTAGGAGATACACACCACGGGACACCCTATGGTTTTATATGCAGGATCATGGAGAAGACATGAGAAAGTGGGAAAGAAAACCTACCTCAGTTCTGGAGGAACGGGTGAGTGAACTGAAGAGGAAAACAATGGTTAAGGATGATCCTCCCAGGAAAGTTGCTGCTCCAGTCTTCAGTGAGCAGCTTCCCAGATGGAGTGGAAGAGCTGATTTTACCACGACACTTGGGTATAATTTACTGCCCAAGACCTAATTCCCTTCACAAAATAAGCCTCAATGATGACATGGCTATAATCCAAGCTTTTTGTTAACACTTTGTTCTTAGCTTTTAAAAATATATTTACATTTAGTTGATACAAACATATTAGCTGAATACTACAGCTACTATTACTAAATGCTATGATAGGAAGTATAAGTTTTATATCTTAGCAGCTGTGAGTAACCACAGAAAAATATATATTCACAGAATCTTACAAAAGGATTTGTAAAAAATACAGTTTGTTTTTTTTTTTTACATGCCATTGTGCAACCTATTTCAAAATACATTCACAGCATCAATCAATTCATTTCAAAAAAAGACACTGCCAGAGTGAACTTGTCTCTTAAGTGAACAGGAACAAGAGGGAGCCCAGAAAAACATTTAATGCAGTCAGACAGAGTAAAGTAGGATTACTTAGCTTAGTAAAGAGACAAATGAGAAAAATAAACAATACATTGCACTGAAAAAGAAGATTGAGAATTACTGTCTCAGAATATGTGTACAAAGAATCCTAGATGAAATGAAATGGTGACAAAATAATGGATTGCACAATTAAGTTGGAGCAGAAATTTGATCTCATAATAAATAAGCACAGGGACATCAGATGAAGCAAAGAGGTGAGAGAACTCCAACAGTGCACTTAGAAATGCTTCATGATTAGAAAAAAGAACATACAAACAGTATCAGAAAAGGACACGCTTCACAAGAAGTCTTTAAGACAAAGAAGAGGATACCTACCAGGAAATCCAAAACTGCCTGAATTGCCCCATTTTGGAAAGACATATTAAACCCCACCTTCCAAAACTAAAGGTGTCTAAATTGTGATATGCTTTATGAAAAGTAAGTTCCTTCACTTCCTTTAAAACATATGGCACTGGCAACCTTGGACAGGATTCTGGATAGGAGCAGTTCTTGCCCTCCAGCATACCTATTCAGGTTGACAGTAGTCAAGAAACACCTAAGCCTACCTTATTTTGGATGTTGCTGTTGCTTACAGGTGCATCTTTCTCCCTCTCCCTTCTCTCTGATTCCATATTTTGCTAATCAATTAAAATGGTGAAAAATAATACATCCTGTCTTCATAAGCCTGCAAATATGTATCCCAGATCTACTATACAAACCAAATGATTACAGACTGAAAAGATGTGCTACTCTACTCCTTGTGGTTTCTACAGTTGCTTTAGACCTTTTTGTTTGCCAGCTTCCCTTTTCAAACAGCTCAGAAGCAACAAAGATACTAACGCAAACAGGGAAGGATGCTAGGTTAAGCTTTTCAAGAAATTCCCTTCTTTCCTCAAAAACTGACAGGAAATTTCTGGTTTGTTGACTTGGATGGTATTTGGTGAGGAACCCACAGAATGTATTTTTGGCATGATGAATGCAATCTGAGAAGGGAAAAATAAAGTATTTGACAGTGGGATGAAACAGAGTGCTGGATGCCCAAAGAATCTGTAAAGTAATTATCCCCATTGTTAACTGGAATTCTAAATACTGCAGGAATATAAAAGCATTCTCAACTGTTACTCCGTAAGTAACACAGTCTGCAAGCTGTGGCAGTCAAAGAAACTAAACATGATTTACATTCAAGATGACTGACAAGCTATCTTACTTTTTTCCATTGCTGTACCCTGAATGCAATGTCTTATGTCCTCTGTAGGGGTGGATGGCCATGGCAGGTTGCACTCCGGCTGAAATCTTCTCATGGTGATGGAAGACTCTTGTGTGGTGCTACTCTTATCAGCAGCTGCTGGGTCCTCACTGCTGCACATTGCTTTAAAAGGTAGCTCTCTCTTCAATATTGAAGTGTATTTTCACACTCTTTCATTGTTCTAGGTATAGGCAAAAACATTCCAGTTCAAGCCCACTGAAAACTGTTCCATAGAGCTGGCCCTTGGTGTAAACAAGAACTACCAAGCAACCTCTTTTCCCTCCAAATATAAACAAACAAAATCCCTAATACACTGGAATCCTTTTGGGTGTCATCTAGTATTTTAAGCTTTCAACAGCAATTATTTCATTTGAATCCTTACAAAAGGCTGCAGTACAGGCTTGAATAAAAGCACAGAATGGCACTGCAGTTTTGAGGATATTGGCTAGGATTTGCTCAAGTGGGCTGCAAATGTTTTAACTTTGAGACTTTACTTTTCCACACTAATAACTGAAAAGAAAGTCAGATGTACTTTTGCTTGAATGGATAGCGTTATCTTTGCTCACAGCCAGATGTACATCTTTTCGTGTTTCATGAAAAACACTAAGGGCTTTTCTTGGTAATATTTCAAGGGGAAATGGTCAAAGTTGGTTAAATTTCTGCCTACTTCAAATGATTTCCCAGTTGTTTCTGTAGAACTATGAAAGCAGTTCAGTTGTTACCAATGAAATTTATAGACAGTGGCCTCGTATCGCCCTGTTCATCATCTCCATAGTGGATGATTGCATCGAAGGATGAAGCTTAAGCTCTTGAGAAAGCCTTTGAATAAGGCCTGAAAACAAGGCAGTCCTTTCTGGTTTTAACTCAAAGATCCTCCTCAAGGAAAGGAAAAGGGAGGTCACAGGAAGCCAGTTATGTTTTCCATGTACAAGTCAAGATCTTCCTTACGGAACTCTTCAGTAACACTTTCACAAAGTTTGGCGAAACAATTTAGTATCTACTGTGCTGCGCTGCTGCAGCTGTAGTGCTTTCCTACAGGAAGCACTCCCCACAAAATACATTATTTGTTCTTCCCAGTGACTTGCTTATGTAGCTGGAGCCTCAAGTCACTACTGAATGTGCTGCCAAAGCATGCCCCTTTTGGATACTTTGCTGAACACCACATGACGGGCAGCAGCATGGCGGGAGCATTGTACACCATGGTACTTCCAGAGCAGTGCAGTCACTCGTGGGTCTGTTACAGGCTACCCTCAAACTGTTACGTGTGCTCTCAGGGACCAAAGTATTGTTTTGCCCCAGATACTGCATTTAAAACTGTGCAACCTAGATCTAAGCATGCAACTCCAAGAGCCAGCCTATGGATCGTGTTTCCAATATTTAGCGTGAAAGAGAGAAAGTATCTTATTCGAAGCTGACATTGGACAGACTGGGCTGAACTTCCTAATGATGTCAGTGATTTTAAAGGGGGCTAGGTTTCCAAGGGCTATCTACAGATCAGGCACTTTCTTCACATATTTTTCAGAGACAGAAAAAAGAAAGTACAGTATACCATTTTTCATATCCTGGAAACTGGAACACTGCTTAAATAACAAAAGTGAGCTTATCTGCACTATGGATAAAAATTAAATACAATTTTATGCATGATAATTAGAATTGTTTGCCAGTAGTATAGAAGCATTACTGTAATTTCACAGACATAATTTAAGATCAAAAATTACTTGAAGCTATTTTTCCTTTTATAACCCACCCATCTAATTACTAAGTTTTGCCCTGAGTGGCTCTGACAGCTGTAGGGAATTCGCAGGTCTATACATCAAAAAAATATTAACTTTGGATAATTTGAAATATTAAGCATAGGAAAAAAGTAAATTATAATGATCGTGATGTCAATAGAGGAAACACGGTGTTACATGAATATTGTACTGTTCTAATAATGTAACTCTTTTTAAGTGCTTCTTTATACATTCCTGAATGCTCAGGCATACTTCAACATGGTTCTGGTAATTTATTTTGAGAATTAGGGACCCTGGGGCACAGCGGAACCAAGTTACTAGTAAGACACCAGAAACCAGAATTAAAGTTCAGTTTTCTCAAATTCAGCATGAGTGGTGAGATGAATTCAGATGTGCCTTCAGTATCAGTACATTTCTTGACGGGCAGCAGGATGATATTAGCATGGCGGCTGATTACTAATCCACCTTCCAGTTGGCTGGGAAATAAAACTTCTAGGAGGTGTTAAGGTCAACATTTCCAGGCTGTACTAGAGCTTCAAGGCATGACCAGCCATCCAACAAAGGGGTAATACCATCCACGAAGAACTGTCAGACTCCTCCTCTGCTTCTGCTCTTCAAATGTGATGTGTGTGTGATGGTTCTCTGCCATTTTGAAGGTGACTTCTACGTAAGGAAGACTGGAGAGCCCTGAGACACTTTGCCTTTGTACTGATGCTCTAATAGAGTACTTCTGCATTTCACTAACACCAGCTACAACAGGGGAAGAAATACAATAGCCTACAGATGAAAAAATCAGTTTAAGAAAGCCTGATGTGTATGAATGTGCACAGAAATATGGCAAAGACCACTCATTAAGCTTCTCACAAGAAGCCTTGTAGCTATTAAAGTTTTAGACATTTGCATGAGAAGCAGCACTTCTCATTCTATTAAATGTTTTAAATCAGTACTTTTAGTTAAGATAAGCTTTCCTCAATCTCCTTTCTTTATTATTCTGCTCTAAATGACCATCATCCATAACACAAGAAAAACAGCAGGTACCTATTAAATGGAACACTATTCCTTTTGTCAAAATTAAGGATGCAACATTAAATAGAAGCAGCAAGTTTTCTACTAGACTGCCTGATAAATGGCTGACAAGAGAGCCCTCCTTATCAATAGTCAGAAACAACTTCCCCTTCATGCTTAGGGTTATGAATCAAAGTATCAAGTACAAGTCTATTTCCTGTCATTATTACATTAGTTTAGGAAGGAAGTGTGTTCATTTCTCATCTAAATTACAAACACTTAACACTTCTGTGATACTGTCCTACTCTTGACTTCCATGAGGTTTAAGAACAGAAAACAAAACCCCATAACAACAACAAAACCCCAACCCTTCCCCCCGCCACTCCCCTAGTCCCTTCTCGCCTTCAAATTGCGTTAAAGATAATGGATACACAATATGGTAAATCCCTGATGCTAATGTTGTGGGTAAGACCTATAAACTTAAATGCAGAGGCACATTAAAAAAAAACACAACAACAAATGAAAATCCCTCCAAAAGCCCCAAGAAACCATGCAAAGTTACTTTTTTTGACTTGAGAGCCAGATTCCTAATCCACCACTGTGAAGTACTATCATTGTGTTTGTTTCTATACACAAACCATGTATGTCAGTGTACAGACTGGTTAACTTAGGCAAATATTTACTGAAGGTAAAAAAGCTTTCAGAATCCAGAAGGTATCAGCATAGCACTAATATGTGGTTTGCTGCACACAGCCAAAAGTGTATCTAAATTACAAGAGAGTATTTTCAGTGACCTTGTAGGTCAGATTGGCAAATTATGCCAGTCAAATATATATATATATAGCTAAAGATACATTTGTATTCCAATATGACACTCAGATGTGTATCACACCTTGTTAAAATATCACTTTCAAAGATCATATCTAGCAATACATTCTAGGGCACAGAATCCTATTTATGATAGCTTTTAAAGGCAATGAGATGAACAATTACAAACTATCACTGCAGCAAAAATTATTAAACCATTTAATGTAGCTTAACTGGCAAAGAAAACAGCATAATTTTACTTAACATACTGGGCTCGACTGCTGTACCGTTTTGATTCATGAGTGGAGTGCATTGTGTGGTTATGAAATCTGAGCAGAAAAATGTATCTGACATCACTAACTAAAACTCTTTTGTTTACTTTAGTGGGGGTTTTGCATGTAAGAGTAATTAAAATAAAAATAACACAGCCGTTTACTGCAATAGTAACTAAAGTTTTTTTTGGACTGTTCTTTTTCTAATTTACTCTGGGGAAAATAGGTCCTACATAGTTGGCTCATTCATCAGCCAAGATGACAAACCATCTTGGCCTGGGCAAGACACTGAAGAAGTACTTTGTTGGCTGTATAACACATCCCAGTGTGTACTACACTTTTTATGTTCTGAGCATTACATCTGTTTTATAAATAGATTTTGTATAAAGTGAAAGACTGTTTGATACTGTGCATCCTGACCATTCAGCTGCCTGCCTCCACACTGACCTTGTCCACTTTGGAGAGGGGTATAGGCTGTCAGTGTGTAAAAAGTTCTGTAGTTGGGTTTGGTTTATTCCCCTGTTTTGCAAGTTTCACAGAGGACCAATGCATTGATTGGCTTACACAAAAAAAAAAAATGAGCTACCAGGGTATGCCAGTTTGGTTTTCAGAGTGTATTCAAACTGCTTTCTGTACCATAGGAGCATGCTTTCCATCAAACAATCAACATTAAGGTTACTTCCATTAAAAAGATGGCCACAGCGATCAATGCACTTGCCCTCATTTGGCAGTTTCTCCTGCTTGCAACCAATTCAGAAACCTTTATGTCATAGTTCTGGTAAATACACCATCTATGAGGTTATATAGCCTCCATGTGAAGACAGAAATTTCCATTTAATATATATAAATATTAAACTGCAGATGCACTGTTCTGCAGAACACAAGATTAAACTAAGGAATCAGATTAATTTCTCTACTGAAATTTTCCATACCTAGAGGAATAAAAAATACTTTCACCCCTTACTTTGCATATTTATATAAAAATATGTTTCTAAGTCTAAATGCTATGGTTTTGCTAAAGCATTACTGGAAATCTTTGCATGTGGCCAGAATAATTTGCTTTCAAGTCTATCTGTATGTAAACATGATAAATTAAATTCATAATTATAGTTTCTAAAAATTCCCAGAAACAATAGCAAGTCAAGTCATAAAACCTATTCAGTACAAACTGGTATTGATATGTACCAAGTGTTTTATTGTAAAGATGCGCAACATATTCATAAGAAGGCATCTTCACAGAAATGCTACTCAAATAAATCTGTGTTAAGTAATGCCTATACTATACAGTATTTTAACCTACTAAAGATGCATGTAGCCTTATTCCTTTCTCTATTAAGGAAAGCCAAACAGATGGCAGAAAAAAAAAACAACAAAAAAGAAACGCACTAAAGGTCCCAGATCAGACCACAACACTGTTTTCTAGCCAGTGCCAGAATACTTTTACTGGCTCCCACATCACAGCTCAGAGTTACAATAATATAAGTTAAACTGATAATAGTATACTAAGTGTCTTGGCAAAGTACAGTAAGATTAGCCTTTTCTCATGTAAAGAAGTGTGGCAACGACCCAGGAGGGGATTCATTAGAGTCAGAGAAGAACTTCTTGGGCAAGGATTTGACAGACTATCTACAGGGGTGCAGGACTTAGTTAAGATTTCACTGATATCACCTCAGATGGCCAAATACAGATGGATATGTATCACTGAAAAAACTAATTAAGATCTGACAGCCTTTCTTACTCTGAAGAATCTCCTTAAAGGCAACATCCATGGAATTTTGCTGTTTATTTTATCAGGAAAATAATAAATTGTGAAGTCCTACCAAGCTTTTAAAACTGGCAAAGCCACAAATGCTGACCTAGAAATGAGAACGGGACATCTAGTGCAAGAGGAAGTGAGACTCAAGTATTTGTTTTTAAAAAATCCTTACAAGGAAATACCTATATTGTAGAAACTGCAGGGACTGGATTCAGAATGCCTAGAAAGCCAAGATTCATGGTTCTGCCTTGTTTCATGTTCTGTTCCTATTCAGGCTCTAATTTCTTAATAGAAAATTCCTAATGAAAATTTGTTCAGTGGTAAGTTATGAAATACTAGCAATTCTGTAGTCAAAACAGAAAGATCAGTAATGACACAGTGACACAGAGGGTTTTTTCTTAAATGCCTTTGAGATAAACATTCTGATTCACGAAAAAAGCTCTGAGCTATTTTTTTCAGGAAGCAAAGAAGTAATGTATTTGATAGAATACACAATTTAATTTTTCTCAGTTCTCCCTCTGAGACTAAAATCAGTATGAATACTTTTTTAAAAAGTCTGCATCCATTGCATCTCTTCACTTCCAGCTCTGTAGAATTTTTATTTCCAAGCACAAGGAAAATACAGTAACTAGAAAGTATTTCGCAGAGACTACTACTATGGAAGAGCTGAAAAAAGTTTTGTGGTATACAAGTTATTTTAGTTTTCCTATATAGAAGGTAATTTTAAAATGAACAGGTATTTGGTCATAGCCTGAAACTCTTTCTCCTTACTAGCCTGGAAGTGAGATTTTGTTCATAGAAGACCTGAAGGTCTTGCAGAATATGGCAAAGAAAGCTTTGAAAGCAACCGGGAAATCAATCCACAATTTGAAGAAATATTCAGTGGTATATTGTGCAGAAGAAGCCTGTCATGTTCTTCCTTTTTCTGCTGCTCATCAAGCAGGCTTTAGTAAGCTATGGAGATCAGCACTTTGCTGGAGAGTATGAAAGGAACAAGACAGGTTAGAAGGTGACAGAAAACTGTAGGCTATTTTCTGCACATGCATTGCCCATTTCCTGTTGAAGACTAAGAGGTAAAGGAAGAAGGCAAAGGAAAAACATTTGGGTTAGCTTAGCCAGATTTTAAAATAAATAAATAAATGTACCCAACAGTACCGTCTTGTTTGTATTTTCCTGAGAAGGGCTCCAGAAATCTCCAAAGCCATGCACAGAAAATTATTTCAGCCACAGTAATAATCTCTAAGGTATTTACCATTTAGTCTATGATGTGAAAGAAACTGGAGTCATATTAGGTGCAAAACAAATCGTAAGGTTTACAGGTGTTCTGTCACTTGACAGTTGGTGCTTGTGATGCACATAGGCTTTGTTTTCCTAAAAAAATGATGTCTACAACTCCTTAGTGTTCCTTAAATGCCACAAATGTAGTCTACAACTAATTCCTTACTTCAGTTAATGTAAAACAAAGCAAGCCTGAACACGGTTTTCATTTCAGTAATTATTTAGAGCATCACAATGATGTTAGTACTCACGCTTTCATTATATTTACTGGCCGTTTACATTACCCTTGCTAAATACATTTATAATGAACACCTTGCTTGTATCTTTGAAATAAATGCCAGTCATGGCAGATGGCCATAAGAAACCTCACCCGTAAAAATACACAAAAAGGAATATAGCCCAACCTGAAACTTTAGGAAAAGGGTTTTTTATATTATTTATATCCTTATATTGACATATTATGAATGTCAATCTAAACACCTGAGAAAGCTTTTCCACTCTTTAAAACCCCCTTTTGTATCATTATTTATATGAGCAATAAAGACTCTGATCAAATGTGTTTGCATGCTTTGGGTCTAACTTTGCGTAAGCCAGCCCTATTTGTTTTCACCTCAATCTTAGGTACGGCAACATCACTCGGAACTATGCTGTGCGAGTTGGAGACTATCACACACTGGTACCAGAAGAGTACGAGGAAGAAACTGGAGTCCAACAGATTGTGATGCATAAAGAGTACAGGCCTGACAGCAGCGACTATGACATTGCATTGGTGAGGCTACAGGGGCCAGAGGAACGGTGTGCCAGATTCAGTTCCCATGTCTTACCTGCTTGTTTGCCATTAAGAAGAGAGAGACCACAGAAAACTGCTCCCAACTGTTATATCACTGGATGGGGTGACACAGGTAAAAATGTTTTAATGATTTCTATGCACCAATTGCATTAATGATTTCTATGCACCGATCGCATTACCTGAGGCTGCTTATTTAAACAAAACAGAAACAAACAAAACCCCAAACTCAAATACTTAAAATAAGAAAATGCTCCAAATGGAACAATTTAACTGTCTTTATATAGGGGGATATTTTCTCTCCTGATCCTTAAACAGAAATGACAGCACTCCATTTACTGAATTTAGTTTGTGTTTGAAAAGTAGCAATTAACCATGTCACTCTAAAGCACAGAACCAGTCAGTAAAATAGCCTCATTAAGATTGACAAAGATCAAAGAAAAGCTGATTTGTTGCCAGGCACACCCTGCACTGCAGCTTATCACTCCCTGCCTCAGAACATAACAGCTCTAATATAGTTAGGAGTTTTAAGGTAAGTACAATGAATACTTGAAAAAGGTTATTTAAAGTACCCTACTTCAATATAAAATGGACAGAAAACATTCAAATCATAGAATTTCAAATAACATTTTTAGTCTCCCTTGTTACCATTGACATTTTCAATCAGCAGTTTTGATTTAAATTAAGAGAACATCTTGCCAAAATTTACAAGATCCACAATGCAGTCTGCAATCCAGACTTCTGGAACAAACTAGGCACTCTGTAGGTCAGTACAAGATCCTTCCTCTTAGAAGGTCTTTGTCCTTTAATTGTTTTAGAAATTAATAACCATGGTTTACTTTCATGTTTTTATGGTGCTGAATACAGCACAAGTCGGCAACCAAGCTTGAGCCTTTGTTCTGTGGACTCATTCAAACTGGCAAGGAGACAAGGCAGCAAGGCCAAATATTAGTTCTTCCTCTTTACACGCATTACTCTGTGGGCCCAGATATCTGGGGCACTGCTCTATGCTATGGAAGATATGACTTGTAGGGTGGCTTTTTTTGCTAATAACAATTGCTAATACATTGCCTGGCTCTGCCTAGCTTTGTACACAACTCACTGAAAGTTCTGCAATACTTTTAACTTAGGACATCTACTTAAGGAAACATTAACCACTACAATAATTTGGTAAGAAATTACATCATCACAGCACCTCAGCTGAAATTTTGCACTTACTATATGAATCATAATTACAAGTATTAAGATTTTACTTGGAAATTGAAAAAAAAACCACATTGACTTCAATTTCCAATGTTTCCAACTGAAAAAGAGGTGCAAGTTATAGAAAACAGGCAAATTATTTCAATCTTGACTAATTATAAGAAAAGCACTGCTTATACAATGCAGGATTCACTACAGATAAAGAAAACCAAAGGACAGGTTCTGGTCACTCCCACAAATTAAAGATTCCTTTTGGTCAGGAGTCCCATTAGTACTCTAGTACTTAGAAGTTACTAGGATTGTAAAAGATTCAAACAATACTACCAATTTCTATCAGAGCACACTTTGGCTCAATAAGAGCTAAATAAGACTGTTGGTTGATATTCAAGGATCACCTGCTACAAGCTCAGGAGTGCTGCAACTAGAAGGAAGCGCAGAGACGTCCTTGGATGGATAAGGAGCTGGTGAGGAAACTTCAAGGGAAAAAAGGGGGGTATAAAAGGTGGAAGGAAGGACAGGCGGTCTGGGATGAATACAGGGATGTTGTCTTGGAAGCTAGGAACCAGGTTAGGAAAGCTAAGGCCCAGTTAGAATTAAACTTGCCTAAGAATGTGAAAGATAACAAGAAGGGATTCTATAGGTACATTGCAAATTTGGAGAAGGCTGAGGTTCTTAATGACTTCTTTGCCTCAGTCTTCACTGGCAAATGCTCTGACCACACCACCCAAGTCTTGGAAGGCAGACTGTGAGAATGAAGATCCTAGGCCCACTGTAGGAGAGGATCTGGCTCGAGACCATCTTAAGAACCTGAATGTACACAAGTCCGTGGGACCTGATGAAATTCATCTGTGGGTCCTGAAGGAGCTGGCGAATGAAGTTGCAAAGCCACTGGCCATCATATTTGAAAAATCATGGCAGGTAGGTGGAGGTCCCAATGGCTGGAAAAAGGGAAATATAACCCCCATTTTCAAGAAGGAGAAAATGGAAGATCAAGGGAACTACTGACCAGTCAGCCTCACCTCTGTGCCTGGCAAAATCTTGGAGTAGATTCTCCTGGGAGGCATGCTAAGGCACATGAAAAACAAGGTGGTTGGTGATAGCCAGCATGGCTTCACTAAGGGGAAATCCTGCCTGAACAATTTGGTGGCTTTCTATGATGGGCCTATGGAATTGATGGACAGGGGTAGAGCAGTTGATGTCATCTACCTGGACTTGTGCAAAGCATTCGACACTGTCCCACACAACATCCTTGTCTCTAAACTGGAGAGACGTCAATTTGATAGGAGGACCACTCGGTGGATAAAGAACTGGCTGGATGGCTGCACACAAAGAGTTGTGGTCAATGGCTCAATGTCTGGCTGGAGACCAGTAACAAGTGGTGTCCCTCATGGATCAGTGGTGGGACCAGTCTTGTTCAACATCTTTGTCGCTGACATGGACAGTGGGATTGAGTGCGCCCTCAGCAAGTTTGCCAATGACACCAAGCTGTGTGGTTCGGTTGATCCGCTGGAGGGAAGGAATGCCATCCAGAGGGACCTTGACACACTTGTGAGGTGGGCTGATGATGTTTAACCATGCCATGTGCAAGGTCCTACACCTGGGTCAGAGCAATCCCAGGCACAGCTACAGGTTGGGCAGAGAAGAGATTCAGAGCAGCCCTGCAGAGAAGGACTTGGGGGTGTTGGTCAATGAGAAAATGAACATGAGCCAGCTTCAGTGTGTGCTCGCAGCCCAGAAAGCCAACCGTATCCTGGGCTGCATCAAAAGGAGAGTGACCAACAGGTTGAAGGAGGTGATCCTGCCCCTCTACTCTGCTCTTGTGAGACCTCACTTGGAGTGTTGTGTGCAGTTCTGGTGTCCTCAACATAAAAAGGACATGGAACTGCTGGAACAAGTCCAGAGGATGCCCATGAGGATGATCAAGGGCTGGAGCATCTCACATATGAAGACAGGCTGAGAAAGCTGGGGCTGTTCAGCCTAGAGAAGGCTGTGTGGAGACCTCATAGCAGCCTTCCAGTATCTGAAGCGGGGCTATAAGGATGCTGGGGAGGGACTCTTCATTAGGGACTGTAGTGACAGGACAAAGGGTAACAGGTTCAAACTTAAATAGGGGAAGTTTAGATTGGATATAAGGAGGAAGTTCTTTACTGGTGGTGAGGCACTGGAATGGGTTGCTCAGGGGAGTTGTGAATGCTCCATCCCTGGCAGTGTTGAAGGCCAGGTTGGACAGATCCTTGGGTGGCATGGTTTAGTGTGAGGTGTCCCTACTCATGGCAGGGCAGTTGGAACTAGATGATCCTTGGAACTAGATGGTCCTTTCCAACCCTAGCTATTCTATGATTCTATGTTAGCTTCTCAGTTGAGATGACAAGCAAGACTGTGTGTACTTACAGGGCGTAAGCATGATGGTTACCTGGATGGTCCACTTGGAAGCCAACAGAGGATGCAGCACCTGTTAGACTGAGCTAGAATTGGTGACCTAAAAATGAAGTATATATACAGCCTTAGTCTCTACTGCTTAAGACTCCCAAAAGTAACTTCTCCATTTAGGTATTAAGGCATATATTTTTGTAGAAGACAAAGTGTGTTTGGAACAAAAAGACCCCAGTCTTGGACATATCCAGTGGGCAGAAGGAGTAAAACCACCTTTAAATTTTATGCCTTTTTTAAAAAAAAAAAAATCTATATACCATATTTACACTATTTATATAGTATTTCGGTATTATATTTAATGCACAGTAGATATTTTTCAGTATTTGGTCTTGTTTACAGCCATTTTACTTAGTAACAAACAGTGTGAATGACTGACAGCAAAAATTGGATTGAACCACATCTATGTTTCCAAGAGCAACCATCACGAGAGAATAATTCTGATCCTCTTTTCAGGAAGTGCTTATTCAAGAACATTACAACAGGCTGCCATCCCCTTACTCCCCAAGAGGGTATGCGAAGAACGTTACAAAAGAAGATTCACAGGAAGAATGCTCTGTGCTGGAAATGTCCAGGAACAGAAACGTGTTGATAGCTGTCAAGGAGACAGTGGGGGTCCACTGATGTGTGAACGTCCAGGGGGAAGCTGGGTTGTGTATGGTGTGACCTCCTGGGGCTATGGCTGTGGAGTGAAAGATTCTCCAGGTGTCTATACAAAAGTATCATATTTTGTACCCTGGATAAAAAGTGTCATCAAACTATGAATGTCCATAATGAAAACCAAACTTTGTTAACAACGTTTGAGGCAGAACAACTTGAACAGCACAGGTGGTACGTGCACAGCTGGGGTCCAGAGTGGGTGGAAATTTTCCTCATTTGTGTGTTTTTCTTTTTGTTAAATCCAAACTGTATACACGCCACCTTTCCGGTTAGGGATTACTACCCAAACAAAATCCTTCTGTGTTAAGGTAGTTCATATACTGCATGAATAAGTTACCATATATCTAAGATAAAGGGAAAAGTGATAGCCAGCTTAGAGTAACAGGAAATTGGAGCAGGACAGCTAGAGTTCACTATGAGATTCACTGCCTACAGGAAGACTGCAGTAGCTCCAAGCTATTTATGGTTCAAACTTCCCTAGAATTAATTACAGATCTCAAAATCAATTTTCCATCTATTTAATCAGTTCCTGGTTGTTCTCTTATTATTCCTATAATCAGCCCTCTAATTTTGAATCATGTTTCATTAACTAATGAGACCATTAGCAGGTTGATTCTTGGTAAGCAATTCTGAGTATATATTAGAAGTTAGAAGGAAAATAATGGCTGATAACCAGATCCCCAGCTATTCTGATAAATGCTCTCACATCTTATTGTGCATAAGGTGGTACACATAGGAAGTTAGTTTCCCCACAAACATCCTGCACTGCTGCAAAATCTGGATTTGACAAATGACCTCTTATTTTCTTTCCTCTAGATGTCATTTGTCTTCTTTCTGAAATTTGTAATTTTTAGTACATAGAGCTTTTCAGATTTTCCTATTTACCATGAGCTGTCAGTACAGTATCGGACTAACAAACATCCCAATCCTCTCATCACTGGTTTTGGAGAGGCTTCACTCAAGTAACGCTAAGGACCTCTGTCAATCCTACAAGTTGTAAGTATGTACAATACAAATACTAGAGAAGTCAAGCCAAAACCTGTCTGAAAAGGTCTATAAAGTCTTAAACTACTATATTCTAGAAGATAATATTTAGACAACTCTCTCTGGCTTAGCTGCAACACTGGTTCAGCCTGATCTTACAGGAAAGGTCAGAGCTAGATAGTTTTCAGTGACTTCTGAAGTATTGACATATCTTGCTTCCATTTAATTCCTTTTACAAATACCGCTCCTCACACTATGAAGACCATAATTGGTTAGCAAAAAATGCAGGGATAAAGAGTTACTCTTGATGTACAAGACAAACGAACTTGCTATCCTTTTAAAAAGGGCCACCCCACTGAACTTTGCACATGGACCACTAGACGTAATCTCCATCTTAGTGCAACGCTAATGGGTATTAGTCTTGAAAATATCTGTGACTATCTAGTCAAGGAGACAAGAAAGTTACTGACGCTGCTTCTACAATCCTTGTCAAATGCCATTCTATATGCAAGTGTGCTCTATGCATTACTTGAACAGGCTTCTTAAAAAGATGGAACAAAAGCTCTCTGGACCATGAAATACTATGGTGTGACGAGTGTGGCAGACGTGTCACCACATAGTGATTGTGCAAACCATGACTACCAGCAGCTGTTTCCCTGTGTTTTTTATCTCCAAACTCTACCTTTCATGAACAAAGTGGGACGTTTGCATTCATGTTATAAGTGGGCAGTCACTCATTTCTGCTCTCTGGTGTTGTAACAAGTATCTGAGTCAACTCATTTAACATACAAAAGTGATGATGACATTGCAGAAGCCCAAGTGGTTGAAGACATGGCCTTTAATTTTGCTCGGTTCTCACCCCAAATTTAATTTTCAAGGTCATGAATAGTTTAAATATCTTGTTGGAACTGGTGCTAACCTAGTACACAAGGTGCTTTAATGTATTTTACCTTCCTGTAATTCCACATGCATCAAAATTGCATGAAGTATTTTATTTAAAAACACGCCAGAGATCATAGTATTGTGACCACCTATGTCAGACACATAACAGACCTGTGTGAAACACTGTGCTTGTGAACTTCAAAACCATTTTACTTATAGCCCTTTTAATTAAAGGGGAAGTAAATCTGTCAAAACGTATCTATTTGTACCATCACAGCTTTGCTATACCAGAATCGTTATTTTGAGATGTGGTGAAGTAGGCTATATATGGTCAAGTGTAGGCTATATATGGTCAAGGGTAGGCTGTAGAGTGCAATACATGCGTTGTGTCCATGGAAAATAGCATGTTTTAGAAGTTGAACCACAGCAAAGAGGTGGGGGACAGGGACAAGTCTGCAAACTAAGTGTGGTAAGATTTAGTATAGTAGTTTATTAGTTTTGGTCTTTAACAGAATGCTTTATTAGATTTTTAAATGTTGTGCTACCATTTTCATGCAGAGAACATGCCTTTTCAGTTTCCAACATAAAATGAAATTGTCTTTATTATGCCATTCTAATTTTTGGTCAATGAGCCTGATGACATAAATGTATACCATAAAAACTGCCACACTGACTACAGCTTCTATACATTGATCCTGTGGATAATGTACATGCAGATGCTGCAGGAACATCATCTAGGTAAACTTCATGTGAGCGTCAAGTGAAAGAAGGTGCTCTTGAAAATACTTTCTTTAATACATCTACATTTTGGGCCTTTTTTATTTTTTTTTCTTCAGAGATGGAAGTTTATTCTGTATGATGGAATTCCAAATGCTCTGTGGGCTTTAACTGAGACCAGTTAGGTTGTCATAAGTAACATTATCCTACACTCTTAAAATGGCTTAAGAATTTTTTTTACCTTTGCTGATCTCCCCTTTGGCCAACATAGTCAATACACATAAGGTCGCAGAAAAACCTGCCTAATGCTTAGAGTTTTGTATTAAACAGATGGGCCACAGTGTTAACGGCAGCATAAACTAAGAAAAGATTCAGCACTTCTCTTACTATCTTAAACACAAATATGTTATCTATCCAGGTTCTCCACCACTGTGAAGATTTAGATGCAGTCCCCCTGAACTTCCCAGTTCCATTTTCCAGAGAAACAGACTAAATAAGCATTACTGCAGCTGACACACAAATGCATTCAATGACGAAAAACTTCCCAAAGATGCACCTGACCATAAGCCACAAATAAACCAAGACCCCATTTTATGATCACTATATGCAGATTATCTACAACCTCAGATGTCTCATTTCCAGAAAAAAATCACAGCAGGATAATAGCTTATACTTAACAAGGTCAGCCCTGAATCAATGTTCCCCATAATTTTCAATGTTACTGCAACTATTTCACACTTCCAAGTGCTAGAATATTTATACTCAATGAGATTTTAATGTTCCAATTTTAGAGTGGTAGTTGCAGAGCACAAACATACAAAGCTGAAACAATCAGATTCAAGTAGTAGGTCCCAGTAGGAGATCCTCCCAGAAAACATTTGTCACATGAGGAAGAAAGTTTTTTTGTTTGTGGTCCAGGGTGCTGGGTATTTTGAGTTAGCCGAGCTAGTGGAGACCAGACCTATCTCATACACATTAGACATCTGCTCACATGACATAGTTCCTATTCCATTTATTTAGCACAGAATACAGAAATTGATCATGTGGCTTCCTGCAAATGCAACATCAAGCAACCACAAACAGGGAAAAGATGGCTTAAGGGTTTGGAAATAAGTATTTACCTTTGTAGCAATGTAAAAGAAAAAAAAATAAAGACTGTACTTGGTGAAGGTTGTGAGAGGTGAAGGGCACTGGATGTAACTGCAGATGGAACAAACTGCAGAAAAATAAGGAGCACCTATAAAGGTTAAGAGCCAAGATGTGACAGAAATAGATTGAAAGATAGGAAAACAGTTGTTTGAGAATTTAAATTTCTGAATTTAACGAAAGCAAGCCATCCTAAACCACATGGAAATAAAAAAGGCATATCTTGTAAGAATACCTCTTGTACTCAAGTAATGAGGGAAAGCAGATTTCACTACCTTCTATGCATGTGACTGGATGTACACAGGAAGCTTCAGTCATAGGAAAGGCTGTCACTTCACTAAGCACGATATACCCACAGCAAACATTACAGTTTATACATAAATGCTGTCAGATCAAATTCAAGGATACTGGGGTAACACATCAGATGACCACATCAGTGTGATGCCATACAGTATATAAAACCCAACACCAGAAAGCCTGAACTTTTCACTGACAACAGAAGAAAAATTGTTTTCTCTAAACCTTCATGTCACATTCTTGAGTTTTGTATTCTGTATTGTTTTAATGCATTCCAGATCCGCAAAGAAACTGATCCCCAGCCTTTCTCCTGCTGCTTCCTGTCCGTTTGCTTATACCTAGTTTTCTTCATAGGGTCAAAGCCAGACACAAAAAATCCCAAAATTATCTGAAAGAAGAAGCCACTTTGCAGACTCCAGGATAACAGCAGAACTGCTCTTGCCACTGTCTGCCTAGCATTTTTTCTTGTGTAAGATAAGCACATAAGTGCCCTTGTAGAACAGATGTTATTTTCCTGAAAGCACTGAAGTTACTACCAAAGTCCAATCTTCATGGAAGAAATTCAGTAGACACTCATGACTACTGGCTACCAGGCTGGCAGTCTCAAACTTGGAATCCCAAGCAACAAAAATGTCATATGAGAGTGTTGCATGCAGAGCTATTTAAGAGAATAATCCCACACCACCAATGAATACAGGTATAGTACCACTTCTTACAGCTCCACAGAGACTATACATTCAGCTACAGTCACAATGGCAGGAAAAGAAAAAAAGCTTCCTGTAACAGCTCCATGATCTCCCTACTGTATTATTGCAAACTGAATAACAAGATCATCAGAAGTAATTTCCTCAGACCTAATCCACATTGCAATTAAAGCCCACACCTCCACCTCATTCAAGCAGGAATCACCCAGTTGCCAAGCACTTAGCTGTTATTGCAGTGCCTACTGATCCCAGCTCTATAGTTTCACAGGTTTTGTTCCCCAGCGCTTTGAAAGCTCCCCTTGCCCCCTAACTTTCCAGTTTGCAACAATTTGCAAAATACGTCCTTATTAACTGGAAGATACTCCTCAAGAGGTTGTGCCAGTATGGCTTGTTATTAGCCAAGACAGTAAATTTACTTACAAGTAAAACATGTCCTGTCTGCAGTGGAACTCTGCATATCGTTTTCTTGAATATGGATTAAACAGAAGATCCCTGACCAGCTGGAACTGAACAAGCAGCTACACGCAAAGTCACTGTTTCTGACCTGCAGCAGTAACCTCTGATTAAAATCAAGTGACTTCTGGCATGGTTCCCAGACAATTTGATCAACAATGCATCAGCAACATTTGCCCTGAAACCACAGAGTCACAAACTTCAGGCTCAGCTATCAAAGCTGTATCCCCCACAGTTGTAGAAGTAATTCCAAAGAACACATGTATGCCTAGTCTTGGTTATCAGTAGTCTTGCAAAGAAAAGACAACACTTGCAGTCAAAGTTGATGTCTCTTTATTAACTTATTCATACATTTGACTGATTTAGATTGACTGTAGATATCACATTCATTCTCTAGACTTCACAAACTTACCTTCAGCTTATGCAGTGTACTTCTTGCAGCCACCTTTCTAACACACCTGAACAGCAAAAGCCCCACCACTAAATATGCCCATGATTGGATCTAATAGTACTGTGGCAACATCAGCCACGTAACA